ACACACACACACACACACACACACACACACACACACACACACACACATAACATATCGTGAGTGAGACATACAAATTCAAATTTTTCACAACAACGCGACAAACGATACACCACCAAACCATAAACAACGAAAGATGAGCAAAATATCATCAACGCGACAAGTCACACACAATGGCAAAAATGTAAATCGAAAATAAGCTACAACTTGGCGCGTAAGACAGTTTAGGTGCTACCATTAGTGTGATATACTCTTCAAGCCAATGTTTCACTTTTTTTTTGTTGGGAAAAATTAACGAAACAAATTTTTTTTTAGACAAACGAATGGAAAACAAGACATATACATAACATAAAACGGAGATGCTATTCGACGAGATGAACGGGCTCATTTTGTATTGCTTGCGCTTTTTTAGCGCTCCAAGCAATAGCTGTACCAAGAAAAAAAAGCAACAGCAACAAACACGAGTGAGATGAAATCATGTAACAGATAGACGGTGTCTGCCAATGTCGCAACCGTCATCACAAGTGCTTTTCCATATTCCATCATGATTATGTATGTTCATAATTATTACTACTGCCATCACTGAAAATAGACAACACGTTTGCCACGTTCGTTCGTTCGTTTTTTTAGTTGGTGGTCGTATGTGCATTGTGCATCCCATCCTTTTGTTGTCTATGTGAAAAATCATACATTTGTCAATATGCTATCTTCTCGGTTTGGGCCGTAACTGTCACAGCAATTTGTGCGCGCTGCCATTTTTGAGAGTGTTTTGCCCTTCGCCGTTTTTGTATCAATGATGTTCATCTTTTGAACCAATTTAAACACGAATCATCACGATAAGGCGATTTGTCCACATCGATTCAAGCAGGTACACACATCAAGTATCCACCGTACAATGTACATATATGTGTGTGAGGATGTAATGGATTGAAATCACACGGAATGCGTGAAGAGCGCAGCATTTTATGAGCTTAGCAAACGGTGACGAAATGGATTTCAATGCGATAGTAATGCCAGCTATTAACACTTAAGTCGATCAAAACGGAATGAAAACGAAAGAAAAAAAAATCGAGCGAAAGAGAGGAAAAGAGAGAGAGAGAGAATGCAGAATCCATCGAAACGGCATCAATGATCACTAATTGATTTGTATTTGATTGTATTTTCAATTTTCGACGAATGACGGCAAAAAGTTCAACATAAAACTGAAGATGTGGAATTATGGATACTATCTTTTTGTAATGTTGTTGCAATTTCAAAGCCATTTCGTTCAATTGCACTGAAGCGAAATCGAATTTCCGTTGCATTGCTTGATCATCCCGCATACGTGTATGTATATTGGGTGTATGCATTAGTTTTAAAGAATTTCCACTACAGATGGTATAACTTGTACTATAACGCATCGGGCCATACTGTAACTATATTCACGTGAAAGCCACATCATTTGACATTAGTTTTCAGTAGGTGTTATTTTACCAAAGCGTAAACAACATAATTTTTTTCACTTACAATCATGTCAAAATACGTGCGGAAAAAACAGCATTTGCGGGAAGTTTTACTTTTCTTCTATAGTTCGAAGAAAACTGCTGCTGAAAGTCATCGGTTGCTTTTGGAAACTTATGGTAGCTCTAATGCTCCATCGTCTAGTACATGAGTACTGGTTTCGACGCTTCCGAATTGGGGATTTTGACGTGGAAGACAAAGAACGGTCAGGTCAGCCAAAAAAGTTTGAAGAAGACGAATTGCAAGCATTATTGGATGAAGATCCATGTCAAACGCAAAAAGAACTTGCATTGGAGTTGAACGTAGACCAAGCAACCATTTCCAGACGTTTGCATGCAATGGGAAAGATTCGCAAGCTGGGAAAGTGGGTTACACATGAACTGTCTGAGGATCAGCGCAAAGCACGGATCGTCACATGCAAAAAACATCTTGCAGAGCACAAAAAACACAGCTTTTTATATCGAATTGTTACCGGCGATGAAAAGTGGGTTTATTACGAAAACCCCAAGCGTAAAGCAGCGTATGTTGATCCCGGCCAACCGGCGCCATTCCAGCCAAAACGAGATATTCATTGCGATAAGGTTATGCTGTGCATCTGGTGGGATATGAAAGGAGTCGTGTATTATGAGCTGCTAAAACCAGATCAAACGATTAATAAGGAACGCTATCGACGCCAATTGAATGATTTGGCTCATGCATTGGATGAAAAACGGCCATTAATAGCTCGAAAAGACCACAATGTTTTGTTCCACGATAACAACACTAAGCCACATCGTGCAACAATCGTTAAAAATAAGGTAGAGCAGCTCGGTTGGGATCGGCTTGATCAGCCCGCGTACTCTCCAGACCTTGCTTCTTGCGACTACTATCTATTTCGATCGATGCAGATTGCCCTGTCTGAAGTACGCTTTCAAAATGAGGAAGAAGTGCGAAAATAGGTTGATGACTACATAACCTCAAAAGACGTGGACTTCTTCAAGCGAGGAATCAACAAGCTGCCTGAAAGATGGCTAGAAGTCATAGCTAACGATGGCAACTACATTGGTTAATGTACTCATTCATTTTATTATTTTAATAAATGTATCTATGAACTCAAAAATTCTTTAAAATTAATGCATACACCCAATACAACGTACAATTGCGAACACTTTCGTAATCAATGTTCCCTTTTTTCGCTCACTTTTCTCTCTTCTTTCCCCATTCTCTCTCTCTCTCTCTCTCTCCTTCGTACTCTATTCTTCCGGTCGTTTGGTCGATGCGTTCGTAAAACTTACATTTTGTCCCATGATGGATGGGGCGAAATGTGTGCGTGTGTGTGTGTTCGTGGCTCGGCAATGAACGGTGAAACCCTCAAATGAAATGCCACCATCACTTTGTGCAAACATTCTCTCGAAATGAATTCCACCGTTTCACATTCTCTTTGGGCCAATGTTGTTCGCATATCGATTTGCATATATTATTCGTGTGCGCTTCGTGTAAATTGTACATTGGTCGATGTAAAATTGTTTTATGATTATGAAGAACGGTTTGTGCACGCTGGTGCACAAGTACTGTTTTATCGCTTTTTCCTGCCACACCATTTTCTATTGCATCTATAAAAAGATATTGACAAGTTGATGGACCAATTTGAAATAAAAATGCCAACTTCATTTGCATATTGTTTTTCGAATGTAACATCATTGCGGTGCGGAGTTTTTGTGAAGCTGAAACGAACGTTGGGTGTGGGAGGCCGAGAGAATGCCGGTGTGTGTATGTGGTGGAATTGGTCGTGAAATCATAAAAAAATAAAGACTACGACAACGAAAACTGGATGGGGAGAGAGAGAGAGAGAATGCTAATTCAATGATTCAGCGCACACCCGGTTTCAAGAGCATCATTTGAAGAATTAGTTCAATAACAAGACTCGAGTGGTTAATACTCGTGTATTTGGTGCTAGGGAATCGGATCGGGAAAGTGTGTGGTCTTTGTTCACCAAGCAACTTACACTCACTCAGATATACAAAAACACATGGTCACACATAAATATATTTATGTAGCACTTTTGCTGCTCACGTGACACCATCATGTCACACTACACAAGCACTGAGTTTAGTTTAATTACATTTTCTTCAACGACGATTTCCAACTGCAAACAATATATTCCGAGTCGATTTCCACTGATATGCAGATATCTGCAAACCTTGGCGCACACCATACGTTCACACATTCTTTGTATATCTTAATTTAAAGTCCTTTTTTGCATTCAATTCCACGCTCGTTCGCCTTCTTTCCCATTTGGTTTTCCTATTTTGGTTTGTATTTTTCGCTTCCTTCACTCTGACGTATTGTTCTTCTTTTGTTCTTTTTCTCTACGCTCGTTCATTCGACGTTCCGTTTTCTTTTTCGGACGAAATAAATTAAGCATCCAACTCATGTGCTGAATTAACACACGAATGATTTTCCCTTGTTGGCCATTTCCAGAACCTAGAATTTATTTTTATTATTTTATTCGTCTCCTTTTTATCCCCTGTCACCCTGGCCTCCTTCACTGTGCCCGTTCTGCATAGCTTCTACATACATGCACACTGTGTACCATATAGAGTATGATTTTACGAAAATTTAAAACATTGAATGACAAAATTGAGTACGAAGCAAACGATTAGAGGCGACCGTGAGAGAATAGCAATGTAAAGCGAAGGACAGGGGAGTTGGAAGTGTTGGGAGAAAGCATGTCCTCAACGGAACAAAGAAAAGAAAAATTATGCACAAAATACAAAATAGAACTGTACCAAACGTACATTTTAACAGTAATCTAATTACAATTTTTTTCTCTGTCGTAATGGGTGTAGATTAATCTGCCAAAAAGTTGAAGCAAAAAAAAAACAACAAAAGAAAGAACAAGGAAATTTCGAATTGTTCACATCATTTAGTGTGAGCAAATGAGCGCGCGCGCACACGCCGTCGTCCGTTCGTTTGCTTGCTTGCTCGTTCAGTGAAGGAGTCACACCATTGCCTTTATTACTCAAACGTGTGGGATCAGTTGGACTGCACAAACTGGAGACGAATGCAAAACGAGTTAATTCTAGTTTTTTTTTTCTCTTCAGAATGTTGTCTGAACTTAGCTACCCAATAGAAGTGGAGAAGAATAGAAAAAAGACGCTGGGCAAAAAAGAAGTCGTCAATTCAAGTGTTTAAATTGTTTTTGCTGTGCCACGGTAAAATTGTTGCTGTCACTCGCATGAGAGGAAAAGAAATCAGCAGCAACAACAATGAAATTAAGCAATTGACGCAAGAAAAATTTCGTATCGCCTTGAGAAATGTCGATGTTTGTCACGATTTAATGCGATTGAACCGCTGTTATTTAATATTATACGAGAACAACGTGTGGGAATCCACCCAAAATTCAAATACACATAAATCGGCTAACCCCAACGAAGACGTATAGAGAGTGGGAATAAAAAAATGCAGAGGTTTACATTACTTATGTTAATACCTTTTTTTTCTTCTCTTGCTCTTTTTCGATTCCAACCAAAATCGAAATGAAGGCAAGAATCAGTCGTTGTTGATTTGTACCATTCGATTTTCAACCATCTTCATTAAGAATAGGAGTTGGTGAAACACAAGAGTTCCCTCCATTTTATCTCTCTTTTTCACGTCTTTTTTACAATTCTTTTTAAATTCTCATTCAAACACACAATTGTAATTTGCATAATTTATTTTTTTTTTCAGGGATGCTTTGGCACATTCAATGAGGCGAAATATCGAAACTCATCGGCTCGATGTGTTACGGAATATAACGGATTTGCTCAGTAGAACGTTTCCATCGCAATTCGTTTTTCCGGTGCTTGGTCATGAAGATGGACAAGGGAATAATTTTCGACGTTTAGGTGAACTATGGCGACACTGGCTCCCGAATGAGGCATTGGAAACATTTAATAAGGGTAAGAAAAATCGAATTCACATTCGAAACGACACACAATGCGAGCAAACACAAACATAAACAGAAAATGTGCCGGTAAAAGGAGCGAACGAAACAAGAGAAACAATGCCCAACACTGAACATATAAATGGTTTTCATTTTCTGTTTGAACTGCATCCATACACACTGCAAATAGTCTGGATTGATTCACCTTGTTGAGGAATAGGGAAAAAACATACGTTTCGTTGAAATGGTTTCAATAAAAGCGATGTGAACCGACGCGACTACCTTTTACCGGATTTAATCTTTGTGTTCCATTTCATGATTCTGATTGAATCTCGAGCATATATATATTTTTCTGTTTATTGTCAATTGTTGTCCACATTGTCATTGGCATTTTCGTTATTTATTTCCGATATCATCCAAAATAGGCGGATACTATACCATCGAGCAGAGGAAGAGTCGATTGCGAATTATCGCATTAAATACCAATTTTATGCGACATGATGTTAAATATACACAATCACATTCGTCACCCATTCGACAACGGCCCAGTATGAGCGATTTGAATGAGCACAACAATTATCGTTATCACCATGGAAATCATTATCGAAGTAACGGCATCAATGGATACAGTGCAAGCAATATTGATGAGCATGGTGGCACGGTGAGCGCATTGTCGGGCGGTGAAAGCCATGAAGCGCAAAAACAATGGGAATGGCTGGAAGCTGTACTGGAAAAATCGAGTCGCAACAAGGAAACGGTATGTAGCTAACATTAACTGGCTTGCGATGGTCTTTTTTCTGGCTCTTTCTCTCTCCATAACATTTTGCATTTACACTTTTCACTCGGAATTCATTCCAATTTCATTTGCTTTGCATCCTTTATAACGTCCGTATGCCATTTACGATGAAAATAGATTAAATATTTGAATATGCCAATAGAATGAAAGTGTCTGTGTGAGCTGACAGAAATGTGAATTTACAACGACGAAAAGAAAAAAAAAATTGGTAAGCACCGGCGACCAGCTGCGTGCAAGTGCACGAATTAAGCGAAACAATACGGTTTTTAATAAGCCACTTCTATGCGGCTGTTGTTGTCGCCGCCGCTGATTTTCGCTGCTATTCAAACTATTAAAAATAATAGTGTATATTTACTTAAGCAAAATTAATTACATTCATCAGAGTCACGAAAAATGGCCACGTCCCCATTTTCCACTTCACACGCGCTTGTCCATTTCATGAATTTTGCACGCTCTGAAAATATAATTAGGTTATTCGATGGAGAAAAAAAAAATTAATAAGAAAAAGAAGAAGAAGAAGAAGAAGAAGAACAAGAAGAAGAAGAAGCAGGAGAATGTTGTAGAGAGAAAATGCTTGTTTATTTAGATTTTCAAATATTACTGAAACACTTAACATCTCTTAATTCATTTCGTAACTGTGAAATGTCCGCAAAACTTTTTTGCTTCAACTTTCATGGCGCACACAGCGACAGCCACACAAAATGTGGCCAAAGATTTTTGCCGGCCCTGAGACGAGATAATTCTAGTATATTAGCCGAACAGTCAAAGTCACAGCGAGAGACAATAAAATTTCATTATAGAAAATTTTCTGTTTACAAACTACGAGAAGAGAATTAATTAAATCCTCGTCCGTTGTCTTTCAATTGGAACTTTCAGCTGCCTTTTTTCTCTCTTCTTCTCTCTTCAAGTCGATGTATGTGTAAGCATGAGACTGTTTCTGTGTGTACTTTGAGTGTTTCAGTTTGCTGCCACTGTGGTTCTTCATCTGCGAATGTTTCGTCTAATGAAACGAGCATTAAAGGAAATAAACGCAACCAGCGAAATTCCTCTACACATAAAGTTTTCCACTCTCTTTTTACTTTTCCGCACGCCCATTTCGATTGTAAATGTATTGCGAAGTAAACTCGTCTTGTAGTATTTTCTAAGGAGTTTTTGTCTTGTTTATTGTGCTATCTTCGAAATATTTCAAATCATAAATAAATAAATGTAAACATATTTAACGAGCCGATTCAGCTTGAATGTTAAAGTGCAGCAGTTTCCTTATTGTATGCCATCCTATTTATTTGAACACTTTCATTTCATATTTTATGCAATTGTTTGCAATTCCGTGTTCAATACTCGTTCATCGAAAATGTGCTTTCAAGAATTTCGTACTCAAAAATGCTTGAACAACTAGGACATCAAGTGTTCGAACTTTGCAGGTCAATCATATCTGGCAATAAATTTTCACTGTTTATTATTCACTGAATCATCAAATTGAAATTTTATTTCTCACTCTATCCTCTCCTTCTCTCTCTCTCTGTCTCTCTCTCTCTGTCTCTCTCTCTCTCTCTCTCTCTCTCTCTCTCTCTCCGAACCACTTTTTTTTCAATGGCATAATGAATGAAAAAAAAATTACATCTGCAAAATAATAATTGCGAAACAATTCAGCTTACCACGTTTTTGTTCGTTGTCAATTCAAACAATCGCATTTATCATCAGTGATGACAGCCAGAAAATATTGAGCAGCATTCAATTCATATCACAAAAATATTTGATTCCATTGATATGAACCATAACAACGAAAAAAAAAATACAACAACCGCAACAGCAACAACGACTGTTCAAACTTTTACGTGTGAATTGTGCAATAGAATGGTTATCTAAATTGGAATTGCTATCATAAATAGCAAGCCACAATCAATGACCAAAACAAACGGATGGCAAAATAAAATACATAAATAATAGAATGCAAATATTTGAAATTAACAGGAGCAAAAGCAAAAAAGATCTCAAGCGAGAAGTAGTCGAATCATTTGTGTGTTGTCAATATAAGCGCGACAAGTTGAATTTCTATGTTCACCACAACGTTTGAATGCACCGAACCGTGTGCTTTTCCAGGAAATATCGAAAGGTGTACGAAAGGTGTGTGAATAAACTGTCTGTTTTGCGACAGCCACACAGAGAAATCAAAAGTGGAGAAAATTGTAGTCACGTACTTTTTTGACACGAAATTGGTCGCCCCATAATCATTGCTTATTGCCGGTGTGTCGCATACTCAAAGTAAAATTTCTGAGTAGGGATTGAGTCTTGTGAAATGATCGTAAAATTAGAAGAAGAAAAAAACCAAAAAAAAAAAGAAGAGATTAACGAAGATGGCGCCACGATTCAACATTTCACCGTTCGACCATATCACACTTCTAATGATCAATAAATGTTTTTTTCGAATTGAAAGAGTAAAACCAACATTATTATCTACATTTTCTATGATTTTCGACGGGTCGCCTTTTTCGTTCATGTACATTAGGCCATTTCACTATGTTGAAAAGTCTAAACCAACATACACATTCTGAATCGGTAGAGCCTGTAGATTTTAAATATATAATTTTTGTGTTATAAAATTTATTCCTCGCGAGCAAAATTGCGAATTAATAAATAAATGAATTTGAAAGGTTTTATCATGAACCGTACAATACGTTTGAGTCACGCATCATAGCAGATTTCGAATGTTTTGCAATGGATACTTTGCATACGAGATATATGTATATTCGACATCACAGTGACGAGCTATTGTTTTTTTTGAAAACGCAGTGGGGTACCGAAGGGATGTCTAAAAGAGGTTTACAGAATTCGAAAATTTTCTCCAAAAATGGTTGGGGAGACGATTTCTGAGTGATTTAAATATAATATAAATAATAATATTTTATAGCAGATTTTTCTAAAACTTATTCTCCAGAACTGCGATTTTATGAAATTCTATCATTTTGTATATATTTTTCTGAAACTCATCATAATACTTGAGAAATGATACGTTTAACCATGGTTTTTATAAAAATCCATGTTCCATTGTGGATTTTTCTAAATCTCCTGTAATAGCACTATGATTTTATAAAAATCCATCGTTAGGTATGAATTTTGATAAAAACACATTGAAATACAAATACGTGTATTTTGTATGTGTTTTCTAAAAATACACACCTCAAGATGCAATTTTCTAAAATTACAGTTCTGGAGAATGAGTTTTAGAAAAATCTGCTATAAAATGAGTATTTTCAGAAAAAACCTATCTTTAAGTTATACGTTTATCCTGTAGCGCTTTTATCAATGGTAATATATCATTCAAAATTGCCGAAAATAAAAATCAATGATCAAGAAATAGAATATGTTGATTCGGCAAGAGATTTGGGTTATATCATTAACAGAAATTTGAATAATAATGATCATATCAAATCCGTTCTAAAGAAAACATATGGTGCATTAAATTCACTTCAACCATTGAAAAAAATGTTACCCTACGATGTGAAATTACAGCTCATTAAATCACTTATATTGCCAATCTTTGATTTTATGGATATTGTGTATCATGAATACGGTGCTCATGGAACAAATCAAGATAGTGACCGATTAGAAAAAATGTTAAACTGCTGCATTAGATTTGTCATGAACATAAAGCGAAGTGAGCACATAACATCACATCGAAATAAACTTGGGCTATTAAGTCTATATGATAGAAGAACATCTCATATAGCTAATATGATATGGAAAATAACAAACAAAAAAGCCCCTGAATATTTAAATGATATATTGCGACATAACGAAAATAATACACGATCCAAAAACAAACTCATCATACAAAAACCTCACTCAAACACTCATAAATCTAGCTTATTTATCGGTGGACCCAAGCTATGGAACGTCATACCAGATGAAATTAAAGAAAAAAAATCTTATAAAAATTTTAGCAAACATTTCGAAAAGTATTTAATTAAATCATAGTGATGTATGCAAATGTTATTTTTTTTTCTTTTATCTTACTTTGTTATAAAATTACATATTTATTTGAATTTTGGAATTTTGATGTTAATAATTATGATGATATTTTTTTTTTATTCATATACACATAGATTTAAGGATGAAAATGTAAAAAAAAAAACAACTATAATTGGCCTTCGGGCAGCATGTATATGTTTTCTGAACAAATACCGAATCAAATAAAGAAATAAATAAATAATTCAATTAGCCAGAAATTAATTCAATATATTTAAATCACTCAGAAATCGTCTCCCCAACCATTTTTGGAGAAAATTTACGAATTCTGAAAACCTCTTTTAGACATCCCTTTGGTACCCCACTGCGTTTTCGAAAAAACAATAGCTCGTCACTGTGATGTCGAAAATACATATATATCTCGTATGCATAGTATCCATTGCAAAACATTCGAACTCTGCTATGATGCGTGACTCAAACGTGTTGTACGGTTCATGATAAAACCTTTCAAATTCATTTATTTATTATTTCCCAATTTTGCTCGCGAGAAATAAATTTTATAACACAAAAATTATATATTTAAAATCTACAGGCTCTACCGATTCAGAATGTGTATGTTGGTTTAGACTTTTCAACATGGTGAAATGGCCTAATGTACATACATTGTTCGCCCCCTGAAGCTGAGTAGTATATTCAAATGCCGTTATGATAATGAAATCGCTATGAATTCGATAGTCGTTGAATCAAAATGGAAATCAAAACGGTTTTGTGTGTGCGCCACAAATAGCATATATAGTTCTGCTGGATACCCACTAATATATATAGTTGGCAAACAACACAACAGACATTCCTGAATGAAAGCAGAAAATAGAAAATCATATGACCATGGTAGAGGTCATCATGATTTCATGTCATATATGATTGTAAATGTGAGGATATAAGAATTGAGACCGAATTTGTAAGAATGTTGAACGATAAACGAGAGACTGAAAGTGAGCAAGAGTTAGTAAGTAAGAGAGAAAGTACAGGAGTGTACGTAGCACAGTGGGTACAGGGGATTTGCGCGATTATACGCTGTAATGCGCAATCAAAATAAATACACTAAAAAAAATCAATGAGAAGATATAAAATGCCACGAATGATTTTTAGTTTGGTCTGCGTGTGAATATCGTCGTCGTTGTTGCCAGTTGTCAACGTCGCAGAGCCCAATGCTTGCATTCCAGATTTGTAGCGTCGTATTTTCCTTTCTCTCCCTCTCTCTCTCTCTCTCTCTCTCTCTCTCCCTCTCTCTCTCTCTATCGCTCACACATATATGTGTAATACACATTGTGTATACATAATATATTTTTTCCTATAGCTTGAATTTATATCATGATTAATCGCATTTGCGGAGCATTCACGTGATTACATAATTGTTATGTCTAGAACCGTTGGGCCGTATCGGTATAAAATTACAAGTTTGCTGGTAACAGTTCGAATGAAAGAAAAAAAAGAGAAAAAATACACACACACACACACATCGAAATATAAAAAGTAATTTGGACGAAGGGGGGGGGGGGGGCGGTTTGTGGAAGAAAAATACGTGAAACGAAATATTCCAACCAAACACATTCGGATCGGCAGCTCTAACGCCAGAGAAACCCAAAAAAAGAAGCGATAAGAACGAACGAAAGAAATAGAAAAAAAAATGAGAATTCAATTGATGCTTTGTATGTTGTGCCGTCCAAATGTATCCTCGACGACAGAGATTTTGGTTTCAGATTTATTTTGAAGCTATTGTATTTCGTTTCACATATCGGATTTTCCCGGCTCTGTCTTCATTATAGAGCTGGGCGAGAGAGTGTGTTGTGTCGCGTAAACATAATACATCGTCACCAAAAACAAAACAAAGAGAAAATAAAACAAAGTAGCAGACTCGCAATTCAACAACCAAACCATCAATGGCAACAAAGCGGCAGAGACAAACTGCATAGGCAATGCTCACTATTGCATAAAGCTTCTGACACAAGAAATGGGTCGAAATTTAGCGCAAGAGAGGCAACAATCTCTCCGTAACAAATGGCAGGCAGGCAAGCAGACCAGTACAAAAGCTAGCTTATTTTGCAACTCAGATACATGAAGAAGAAATAGAAAGGACGAAAGAAACAACGAAAAATAAGTATTTCGCACATGCAGAGAAAAATAATGATGGTAAAAAAAACGGAAAATGAGAAGGTTGGCGAGAGCAAAAGAATAAACACACAAATACATACATAGAGAGAGAGAGAGAGAGAGAGAGAGAGAGAGAGAGAGAGAGAGAGAGAGAGAGAGAGAGAGAGAGAGAAATAGACATTGTTGTGCACATTACACGTTGTACGAGATGTTCAAGTACAATAAATACAAAAAGGTTTAATAAGACAAAGACATATCGTAATAATCCAGGTTGGCATCAAACAAACGGTTCGAGAAGAAAAAAGCATTTTACCCCATTTACGTGTACGTTTTGCCTGCTTGTTCATAATTGGTTTGTGATTTTACCAAATTTTTGATGCGAATAATTTTTGTTCATTTTCTTCGGTGCGAATAAAATTAAACTTAATAAATTCTGTGCACTGTGTAAAAAAGAAGAAAAATCACAGAGACGTTACCAAATGAGAATGACGCATCAAATACCGTTCGACAGGACGAAAGTGTGTTCTACACATCAAATCAGTTTTGGGTTGTGAAAGACAGACATCAGCAATGAATAAAATGCATGTACTGTTGATTTGACTTACATTTCGATGTGACATTCATTTTTGAGCTCTGGTTCGTGTTCTTCTTCTACTTCTTTATTTTCTCTCTACGTCTCTTCTGTCGCTGCAAGTGTACATATTATATATTAAAGCTTTTGAAAATGGGATGTGAAAACTGAATGTAACTTGGTGAATGTGAGGCGTCAATGTGGAATTGGATGACTTGCTGTTTTCGGAAACGAAACTGTAAAAAGAATATCAAATCAAATTGATTGCATGATGGATACGGACATTTGCACAATATTCTTAAATATTTGTTGCAGACCGGCATCAACAAGAAATAAAATCCTCAAATAAAATGCTCAATACCAAAAAAGATATAGAGTCACTTTTAGTTTTCTCTTTTTTCAAGCATTTAGCATTTCGTTTGAATTTTCTCTGCTCTAATTTTCCGTTTCGTTTCATATTTTTCGATCACGTGCATTGGAATGCGACACACGAACGATAACAACAACAAACACATCGTGGGACAACGGGCGTACTAGGTGTACATCGTTGGACATATACCGCCAGGTTCAGACGAACGACACATGGGCGCTCAACCAAACGGTCACATCACCGTTTTTTCGGAGAAAAACAATTTACGCTATCTTCAACTCGTACGCAAGCATTCATCAATAATTTTGGGACAATTTTTCGGGCACTTGCATTCAGACTCTTTTCGCATCATCTATAATGACAATGGTAAGAAATTAAATGCTTATCTTATTGCCGGCCACAATTTTATTTCGAATCAATGTGTAGTTGAGCAGCAAATGAGCAGCAAATTCGAATCAAATATGGGAAATGATTGGGATTGTTGTTCGCACACCAGTATAGCAACACAAAAATGTGATCAAAATAAATAAAATATTATTCGACTATATTCGTGGAAATTTCTATCGATAAATATGTAATAAGTAATTTCGTAAATGTTTAACATGTTCCCCATTGGTTCTTCATTTATTTGTTCGAAAGCAATAAAAGGTTAAACATTGTATACACATTTTTGTGTGATTTATCGAAATTAACATTTAATTGCTATATTATATACGTACGGGCAAAGATTAGTTCGATTGTTTTCGATGCATAAACATATAATTATTTGAAACGTTTTTATGATAGAAAACAACACTTCATTATTTGTCATACCGTTTTCTTATTAATGTATTCCATGTGAACACACACACGCAATGCATTTAACAATTCTAATAGAATATGAAAATTCCAACCGTATAATTTCGTCTGCTCAATGTAAATGCTATTCATGGATGAATGGTAGCTGTAAATGAATTTTTTTTTTGAAACTTTTATGTTTAGAATGTTGATTTTGTGTATAAAATCGAAAGTTCTACTTGACTAGTTCGAATGCGTCCAAAATTTTGTTTTCGATGTTGCTGGACAAACCTCATGATTATTTGGTCATCGTAACACAAAGCTTTGATTTACCGTTTTGAAAATAGCAACTTAAACAAATGACGCACGCACATTTCCCGAAATCGTCAATTTCCTTCGGTCGTTTCGTGTCTTGTTCCGTTATTTTTATCACTCCATTGAACAACATACACGCACATCGGAGCATTTTGAAGGAAGTGGTATATGGAATAATTGCGTAAATCGATAACAGCCCCACCAAAGCCATAATTTACTTGAATGAATGGTACACAATTGCTGTCATTTTAAATTGCTTTGCTTCAGAAGGTCCATTGAGTGCGACTCGTTCATACAGAATCGGTTTATTGATATTAAATATTTGATTGCATTAAATTTTCACCGGGCTATTTTTTCCTTTCTAAAATAACAAAACAGCAGCAGCGGACACTGTGCTTAACGTGGTCACTCCCTTGTTTGATTTCTGTGGATTGGATTCTAAATTATTTTCGGAATGCGACTCACTTCAGTGAATAATTCAATGCTTCTTTTGTGTCTTAACCTTCCTCATGCAACACTAAAGACAAAATAGGGTATACTTCATCCACCCTCGAAACATGAACCATACAAACGAAATTTCGTACAAGCAGCGCCCGTGTACTTCGTAGTGAAAAAAAAATGAAGCTTACTTGTCACCAATATTGATGTTCACGGACATCAAATTGTTTATGCGTTATTTCGCCCACTTTATGCACTAAAAATATTAAATTCCTTGATTGGTTCAAATCTCACATATGAATTCATCATAACAACAGGAAAACACAATTTTTTTGTTTTTCAAAATAAAAAGCTAAAGCAAGATGATTTTTTCATTCATGGTTCGATCCTGGATCTTTTGTGATTCATTAATGATTTGCAACACATCCATTTTTTTGTCGATAGTCCAACTTAATACGATGTTTTGTTGATTAAATATTTATATTTTGATGACAATTTTTTTAAATTATTTTTTCGAGATGGCAATTGTGCGTGCTTTGATGATAAACAACATAAACGATAGCACAAACATTAATGTCTAAATAAATTAAGAAGCAACCAGTTGCATTTAATCCTGGATCCAATTGTTTGTCGCCTATAACGAATCACACTACATTCAAAGCTGATTTTCGAACATTTCTTTTCTCAATTTATACCTAAAAAACACAATAGAGATTTTATTTTAAATAAAATCTCATTGCACAAATTTTTCAAATTCAAATGTCACACAAATGCACGAAATTCTCGAAGAATGGCCGTAATAAGTGTTCTTTTTCAATTCAAGCTCAATCAATTTCAAGAGATTATGAATAGAAAGAAAATAATCATCTCCAACGTGATTAATTCAAAATAAAAACTCGATTTTTAACTAAATAGTGTAAACACAATGTAAGTTATGAAATTGTTCCACTTCACTGAAATGACAGTTGACTTCACACAAATTGCATTCAGCTGTGTCATAAAACAGTAAATTCGGAATATCCACAAATTCTCCACGTACATTCTGTACGGAACAGATCGCTTGAAGCGCTCGGCAGTTTGACATTTTAAACAGAGCTGAATGCAATTTATAGATTTACAGGCATTAACATACTAATGTTATTAATTATTAACATATTATTAACGGAGCGTTAATAACTCAAACATAACCCAATGAGCCAAACACGTGCAATTATTGTGCATAGTAGATTTATTCCCAAATCGTGCACAATTCTTACACATATTGTGCCCAGAAACAAAATTTTATCTAAATTGGTCCAAAAATTGCACAGTTTTTGCACTTTTAGTGCTACATTTAGCATTACATTAAAATATGCACAAAATTCAAACATTTAGCATTACATGTGTTCATTGGGAACGTATTATTAGATTAATAAGATTCTACGATATTATTAACATATTATCTTATTATAAGACCGCCATTTTATTAAAAAGTTAATAAGATCCATCTTATTACTTTTCCGTACACAACGTGTCAAGGGAAAGTATAGGAAATGGTCCCGAAAACTTTTTTCGCAAAATTTGCTTAGATCATCATAAAAACTCATGAAACGCGTAGAAAACCACTTTTTGAGACACTTTTCCGTTGGTGTGCCGTCATTGTCGTCGTCTTCGTCGTTGGTGTTTGTTAACACGATAACTAAAAAATAATTGAGATAATCAAAATCTGGAAATACCAAGTTTTGTATGCGAAAAACTTAGTTTAAATTCGAAGATGAGCCATTTTCGATTTGACCCTGGGGTACTTGCCCTAAAAAAAAACTCAAAAAATTGACACTTTTGTATGGGAGGTACCTGAAAAACGACTCCGATTGGCTTCAAACTTTCTGGGATTTCATTTTTTGGGAGAAAAATAAGATTCTGAAATTTTGAAACCAATCGGAATCGATTTATGAGTACCTCCCATACAAATTTTTTGAAAGTTTGATTAAAATTACCGATTTTTGCACAATTTTGTATGGGAGGTACCCGTTAATCGATTCTAATTAGCTTAAAACTTTCTGAGGTTTCATTTTTTGGAGAAAAAATAAGATTCTGAAAGTTTCATGTTGATCGCATTTGCAGAAGTTTGATTTTTTGTCCTCAATTTTTGTCGAAATTTTCTTGGAAAAAATTGAGGGCCAAAAACCAAACTTCTGCAAATGCGATCAAGATTAAACTTTCAGAATCTTATTTTTTCTCCAAAAAATGAAACCTCAGAAGGTTTAAAGCCAATGAGGTACGGTTTACGGGTACCTCTCATACAAAAATGTCAATTTTTTGAGGTTTTTCTTAGGGCAAGTACCTACCCCAGGGTCAAATCGAAAATGGCTCATCTTCGAACTTAAACTAAGTTTTTCGGATACAAAACTTTTGGCATTTCCAGATTTTGATTATCTCAATTATTTTTTAGTTATCGTGTTAACAAACACCAACGACGACGACGACAACACACGAACGGAAAAGTGTCTCAAAAAGTGGTTTTCCTCGCGTTTCATGAGTTTTTATGATGATCTAAACCAATTTTGCGAAAAAAGTTTTCGGGACCAATTCCTATACTTTCCCTTGACACGTTGTGTACGGAAAAGTAAAAAGATCCATCCCTTTTCTGGGAGAAAAATAAGATTCTGAAAGTTTGAAATCAATCGGAATCGATTTACGGGTACCTCCCATACAAAATTTTTGAAATTTTGACTAAAATTACCGTCTTTTGGACAATTTTTTATGAGAGGTACCCGTAAATCGATTCCCATTGAAACCTCAGAAAGTTTAAAGACAATAAGAATCGGTTTATGGCTACCTCTCATACAAATTTGTCGAAGTTTTAGTTAAAGTGACCGATTTTTCACTTTATTTTCATTATTATATTTTCACTGCCTTTATTTCAAGAAAATTCACAAAAAATAACCAAAAATACATGCGGACAACGCAGGCCAATGGTACGGAAAAGTTCGGGATTACCAATGTAATTCTTTTTATTATTAATAAGATAATCTTATTAAAATATTTATAAGAAAATCGGATTTTATTAGCCAATTTTTTTCTTCACAAATTTTTTCAAAGCATGTCAAATATTGTCAGATGTATTTTTCTTCAAGATTTCGTCGTCTGACGATATTTGACATGTTTTTAGTATGAAACTTTGAAAAAAAAAAAACGACTATGAAATTAGTACAGTTTTTTGCATCATTTGACATTTTTGTTCATTATAACTCAATGTATAACAGAATACTAAAAACGTGAAGCTATTTTGGTAATTATCTCTACTTAAATCAATGCAAATTTTAACGATTTAAAGCCGAAATGGTTGTTGTCTCTGATTAAAAAAGCTGTTTATAGCAGAATTCGGTTATTGTCTATAATGATGCAAAGCTTTCAGTCGTTCTTTGTGAAGAAAAAAATTGGTTAATAAAATCCGATTTTTTTATTAATATTTTAATAAGATTATCTTATTAATAATAAGATAATATGTTAATAACATCGTAGAATCTTATTAATCTAATAATATGTTATGTTTGAGTTATTAGAAATTTTCCAATATTTTGGTTATTAACATATTAATAACATATCGAAAATGTAAAACTATAATGCAATTTGTGTGAATTCAACTGTCATTTCAGTGAAGTGGAACAATTTCATAACTTACATTGTGTTTACACTATTTAGTTAAAAATCGAGTTTTTATTTTGAATTATATCGATGACGATTTTCATTTAAAATAAGTAAATCTTCTGTCCCAAATATCTAAGGGATAGACACGTTTTTCTAGCGTAAATGAATTTATCTCATTTTGCACGAAGTAGCACTCTGGAACTCTATAAGTCATTTTTTGAAGATAGCTCACTTCAGTGAATAATTCAATTCGGTTTATTTAACGTTTTTTTTTTTTCTTTTTTATGATTGCATCTTTCATACTATGCAAACGGAACATTGGTACAAAATGGTAAACTTCCAAAACTGTTTGCGCAGTAAGACACCATCATCATCCCACAAAAAGAAAGAGACAATTATTAACTACACATAAAGAGTATGTGGCCATATGTTGAGGTTGTTTTGCTAATAATAAAATAAGTTTGATTTTAGCCATACGCTCTAGAATGCAACAAAAGACTGATACAAAAATCAGCAAATATTGCGTATTTGCAGGAGCGTATTTTAATGTGTGACTTTTGGCACAATGTGTATGTATCATAGAGCGCGTATGCTTTCACCGCTCTTAAAAGTACAATGAAAATGAGCAGAAAATTATGGTTGGGTTTTCATTAAATAGAAGGAAAATATGACGCATATATGTACGTAGGGTAAAGAGTGCGTAATGAAAGCGCTGTTACAGTGGTGTGTATCTTTAATGTTTAATTACGATGTGCGAGGGGCAAAAAAAAAAAGCCAAGATTGTTATTAACATTATGATTCGACTAATTATACCAATAATGGGATTTATTGCAGGAAAACCAGTCTCATGGATTATGATTGCACCATCTGTTACACCGAAAAAACAGTCGATCGGCTCGAACAATCCTGCCATGCGGCTCTACAAATTCGACACGGATACAGGCCAAGTAAGTACAAATTCAACAAATAAACAAAAAAAAAAAATAAATACATCTAGCGCGGCAGTGCACGAATGCCAGCGCGCCAGAACGGAAGACACATCAGGCGGTTCGTGTTCACTTGTTTCCTTTTTTTCCGCTCTCGTTCACGCTCTGCATTTATGATTTTATTGAAGCGACTTTCAAATTGTTCACTACTCCACGCGTTTGTTTACATTTCTGTACAAACGCTTAATATTGGGCGATCGTCGCAACTTTTGTTGCTGCACTTTTTTCTGTTTCAATTTTTTTTTTCCTGCGCCCATTATTCAACTCTTGCCGCCACATTTACGACCGTTGTTTATTGAGTCAGCTTCGGTTTTTCGCCAGACGCCGTCTATGCGATGCATATTTTGTTATTATTATTGTTGTTGTTGCTGCTGTTGTGCATATCAACTCTTCCAATATCGATATTAGCAACAGTATAACTCCATCCAAAAGTAGCCACCGTTTGTTGGCGCGTTCGCATATATTTAAGTTCACATAATTTCGTAATAATTTTCTTTCTGAATAATTGACGTTGTTTGCACATGAAATTGTGGTATGTATTATGTGTTTGTGCCTGCATGCAAACGACGACACAACTCCGGCATGGAGGTTTTTCACGCGCACTCACACTCATTCGGCACAAATATCGGGTGTATTTGTCTGCATATGCACGTGCAATTTTTTTCCCACTGTTTCTCTCACACTTTCTAAAGTCTATTCCGATTACACCAACTTAATAATATTTTAATTACGTCGCAGTGATTTCACATGTGCTACAAACAGATGGAACATGCTGAACACCTTTTATCTACCACAATGAAACGGATTGACTCTGTTCACATTTTAAAGACGTCATTGTTTTATTACGCTTTGGCCAGTATTAGTCGAGTGCTGGCACCACCACCTCATTCCATTCTCTGTGCCACCGCCACTGGTTTCCAATCAAAACGGGCATTTTATTCAGTGTTCAGGCGAGAGCAAAACTATATAACGAGCTTTAAATTTTATACGCTTTCGAAGTTCGAGTGTGTTAGTGCATATTTCAAAAGTTTCTCATTTTGAATTCCGAACAATATACAGCTCTGAAACACTATTAAGTTATTTCAGCCATAAAAAATGAACCGTTTGTTATAACTATGGTCCATTGAAATTTGGTTAGACACCATTTCTCGGTTATTGTCATATATTCGTTAGCTGCTGCTCATTTTTTCTTTTCGTTCAGTCTTTTTCCCTTCCCCACGTTCTCTGCTACATTCGTTTACTTCTCGTCTCTGCTGAACGTTGGAATGGTTTCGAATAAGTGAGTCGAATTTATGATAGAATGGGGAAAAATTTTAATATCGAGAGATTACTCGGTTTTAATTGTAGAAGTTTAATACAGTTTTCAATTCAAAAAGTTATTGTTTTGGTAAATCGCAAAGAAATGAGGTGCCTGAACGATGTGGTAGCCAGAAACATGCTTGCGTTCTCTGCATCTCTCTCGTACCTATATATTCAGGGCTTTGTGTGTGTGTGTGTGTGTGTGTGTGTGTGGTGGAATGAAGGACGATACAAAGAATTGCTAGAACAATTGTAATTTTAAATCATTTCATACACACACACTCTCGCTTACTCGCTCTTATAAAAGCTCATACGCAAAATGCCGTGCATATCGATTGCATTTTTGGCTGGGCGCATTTTAGGAATGTAGCAGCACAGCATGTCGTCGCTGCAATGAATGCAGAAATAATGTATATGGTTTGATAACAACATTTACTAAGTTTCAAATGCATGCCCATACAAGCTATACTCGCGCACGCCGAAACACACAAAAACCATTGTAAAGTTATAACCACGATTTCAGCCTATTATAATGTAATATCCAAATGGCTAAATATCGACAATAGAACCATGTGCACAGTACAAAGTCGTATGGTGTTCGCAATATTCTGTAGTGTAATGATTTTTGGGCATTTACATATGCGTGAGAGAAAGAGAAAAAGATTCGGTCGATTCATGTGCGAACACTTATGGCCGAAAATACTGGTTGTAAGAACGACACACACACACACATTCACTTTTACTCATTCACTCACCCAGTCAAAGTCTATGACGTTGCCGTTGCTCGGCAAAACGAATGAAATATGATTTTGAAATATGGACGAGAGAAAATTTTCACACAAGAATATTGAATCTCATCCGCTTTTCGATACAACAACATTTTGTAATGGCCTGAATACACACCTGAATGTGTATGTGTGCGTGTGCTGAACGAGCGATCGAGCAAGCAAGCGAACGCTTCACAAAACCATTTTGCGTTCTGTATGTCTGCGCTTAATCGACACAACAATTCCAAAAATTCCCACCGAATAGAAAAGTATTTATACAGGCAACATTTGCGTAACTCTTTCTCAGTTCGCACACAGTCATAATGGGCCATCAATTCATTATAAGTGGTGGACACAATATTTTAGAGCTACTTTTGCTAGATTTGTACAATTGGTTACATATTTAAAATAGTTTCGATGTTTTTCGATGAGGATCTAACCGATGAGGGAACATTTTGATGGCGCTTGCTTTTGCCTCCATTTCAATGGCGACTGTATAATTACCAAATGCAAAATCGCATGAATGTGTCGTCGTGTGTTGAGTGTGTGTGTGTGTGGGTCTGTGAATGCCCGGCCATGTGTATGTTTAATATGATAATTATATACACAGCCACAGACACATACTCAAACAGACACGCAAAGTTATGGGTAGACAAAAACCCGTAGCATTACGGTATATTTCAGTAATGCCGATGGTTACACTGCGAAAACTTCTTATCTGCTTTAATTTCCAGTCGGATTTTTTCTGTTGCTCCCTTTCTCCCTCTCCGTTCATTTAATTTCATTTTGGTATATTGGTTTTATATGCTTAATGGTACAATTAAAGAGTAAAACTTTCGCCTCTGCCACCGATTTAACGAAGAATAATTGCCATTACTGGCTCTCTCTCTTTCTCTCTCGCTCTCTCTCTCTTTCTGATTACTATTTATAGTAAATTATACGAAATGCCACGCTGGATTCTATTGCACCAGAAATGGTATAGATTAAATGTAGAAAGTATTTGTAATAAAGCAAAGCAGCGAAAACTATTAGGCATTTTACCAATTAGACATGATTCTGCATGGGAAAATATGTGTGCGTATGTCTGTGTGTATTGGTTTTGCTACGAGAACAGTAACTCTCTCTCTCTCTCTCTCTCTCTCTCTCTCTCTCTCGGCCTGTGCCTTGCTTTTCACAGATTTTCTATGCATAAGCGAATCATTGTATTGGGCTCGCCGGTGTGCACTTTTGCATACATTTACATATCCGAATCGTGGCCACAAAATATTTTAACAGTTGCGTTGATAATTTATTTGAAGTTATTTGATAGAATATGTGGTGTCCCATTGTTCTTGTGCACATGAACCACTTCCCGCAAACAAATTGGTCACTCGACTCTCTGACAATGTTTAATCGCGTCGCCCAAACCATACAAAGATTATTATACATTGTGCACGCCAAAGCCAAAAATTATATTCCAACCAAAAGTAAGAGCAGCAACACGAACCGTTGCCGAACATTGTGAAGAAAAAATTTTTTTGGTTTAAATTACGAACAAAAAGCTGAAGCCAAAATCAAAAAGTTAGACCACTCGCTGTGCAACGCGCATAATTCCATAGAATACATACACACATACATCTCAACATCGATCGAACGTGTTCTACCGAAAAAGGGATGCCATAATTTTTGACTTTTCCGAGAAAGAAAATATGCTCAAACGTTGTAATCTCTGCTTCACTTCAAAATTATTATTTTCGCGCTGAACTTTACTGTGTTCAAAAAAAAACACACACACACACAACACTTTCACAAGTATATGATGGCTTCGTATTTTCAAGCGTTTTAGGGAAATTTTTTCAATTAACTGCCCTCAAAATTCCGACAATTTCACATCGACTTCAAACGGCACACAGCACAAACATATTTATTTTTCGATCGTTTTTCATTCGAAATGAAGGCGTCATTCATTTCCGGCTGTCACTTAAAGACAGCATGTCGTTTATCGAACTAAACGAGCTTTTTTGCGCTGTTGCTCTCTCTCTCTCTCTCTCTCTCTCTCTCTCTCTCTCTCTCTCTCTCTCTCTCTTCATAAATAAAATTGTACTTTTTGGTGCATATTTTTGTGTCAAATTGCTTCGGGGGACCACTTCCTTCTCACCTCCTCTCATTGTCACGTCTCAATAGTTATCGATCCAGATAAATCACTAAATTCAAACCACTGAGCACAAACTAACATTACTTCAGAATAATGGCTTCATTTCGCAATAAATTTATCGTTGAAACTTTATCAATTAAGGCAAACGCAAGAAATATATTTTGTGTGAAAAGAAAAAACGAAAACAAAAACCAAATCAATATGGCACAATTTCCAGCGATTAATTCAAAAATGTGCTTGTAATTTGTATGCAAAGCAATTTGAACAATTGGAATTTGAATAAAATGTTTTACTGCTTTTGGGCAAATGTATATATAAAGTATGGAGCAACCCGTTCACACAGCCCCATCCTTTTGCTATTTTTTGCAATGAATCAGATATTCATTTGAGTGCATTTATAAAGTAACGGCAAAACGGTGGGATAAGTCAACGTAAAACGACACATAAAAAAACACCCTCTAGTTCGGAAACAAATTTATTCGAGCTGTCCTCTCTCACCAGATAAATTGCTTTCCCCCACATCACACCACACCAGAAGAAAAGACCGATTACATATCCCGTGATGTACACACGAAATTGCTGCTCTTTTTCTAGACAGTAGACAGTACATACATGCAGTTTTCCTGTGCCTTTCGCATGTGTCGACAAACAGGGAAATTGTATATGAAATGTATACAAAAGCCAAAAATTGGGAAGTGAACAACATGAGCGGATGAAAGCCAAAAAGAAGTGTGAGAGAAAGCATGCAAAAAAAAAAACAAGAACAACAACGGCAAGTGGAATGAGTGGGAGAGAAAGACACATAGAGAGAGAAATAGAGAGTATCAACTGTCGAATTGAATGTGCACAATGAAGAATTTTCTGTGTAACGATATTTATTTTGTGCTTTTCCTCTCGAATTTCCGTATCAGATACATATCTTCACATTACACCGAACCAAAAATGATGTAACTTTTTTGCTGTTGCCGATGGTAATGGTGTGATGTTGAACAGTTGCTACGGTTGCTGTTAACAATGTTATCATGCAATGTTCGACGGGCATATTTTTAACCTTATCGACATTGAAATATCAATTTTTTTTATATGCGTGTCTTTTCATTCTGTTCACTCACTGACTCTCTCTCTCTCTCTTTCTATCGGTCTTTTTTTCCCTCTGTCCTCCATCCATTCTCTCTTCCTTCCGATGGCATTTGGGTATACGGTTGTGTGTGTATGTGTTTTTTTTACTCTCGCCGCTGCCCGTGTGTCGTCTTTTTGAATTGAAATTGGTGTGTGCATTGTGAATATGTGCTGCTTGTTTCCATATAACACGCAGCGCGCGTTTCATTTTCTCCGCATGAATTCATCAGTTTTTTTTTTCTTCATGCCTGCATAAATTGATCGACCTAAATAGCTGTGCGAATTTTGTGCTTTTTTCCCGGAAACATTTTGTGTGCGTCATGCAAGGGGGAAACTACTACTAATTCATGTTAATACAATTTAGTACAACACAAATTCTGCACAATTCAAAACAATTCCAATCGATTCCGATGTTCCTTAGTCAAATTTGGTGATGATCAACTTAAAATATCTCAAATATAGGGACATTTACCATTTATTTGAATGCATATTGAAGATTTTTACTTCCATACACATATTTGACTTGGTTTGCACTACAAGACTCAATTCTAGCTCTGTTTTCTATTTTAAAAAATATTTTATGTATCATAAAGCCTTTACCTATTTGAACTGAAATATTGAATTGGAAGTGAGACCTATTTAGAATTGGAAGTGAGACCTACAATTAAAAATACCCTATCTGAAGTTATTTCGATAAGATTGAACATCTATGCGCTTAAGCATTCCTTTGAGATGCTAAATGACCCTATATTTGCAATTTTTGAAGTTGATCATCATCAAATTTGACTTAGAAACATCGGAATTGATTGGAATTGTTTTGAATTGCGCAGAATTTTTTGGAATTTATCAGAATTGGTGTTGTACTAGATTGTATTAATATGAATTATGCGGCAGTAGTAGTTTCCCCCTTGGCGTCATTCGACAAACAAGCGAGAGGAAAAGCAAACAATCAACAAGACACTCACATCGACCATATAATACTGATAATTTAAATGTTACCTATTTCATTGTTTCGGCTGTTCGCTTCGTATGGTTTTGGCCTCAGCTAAAACATATCAAATGAATTTAACCAAGCGCATTTTGACTAAAGCCACCCTTCCATTTTATTTCTAATTGAGTTGTTTGGCGGCGAACGCAAGTGGACGGAGGAATCCCGACTTGCAACGTAATTACGAAACCAACCATTGCCACTGCCGACTCCGGAATAAACTACGTACAACAAGCGGAATGAATGGAATGTTAAAAGAGTATACAGAACATCATGTCGATATGTTTACATAAACGATTAACATTTTTCTACTCATTTTCAACGTTAATTTATTAGCGGCATTGTACGGTTCATTCATAAACAATATTTTTCAGTCTCTCTGTTCCATTAGAGCTATCCGGCCGAGCTCGATGACACGTACGCAAACATGGGAACTTTGACCACTCTAAAATAAATTTTAAAATGCGATGAAAATGATATGTGGAGCATATCGTCGTTCTTTCACAATGATCCACAAATATAGACCTATACACATACATAGTGTTGGACTCCACTGTCAATGCCAATGCCAATGCCAATGCCAATTACAATAATTGCCATGAAAACAATTAAGTTACCGAAGATGAAAAGAATTTTAACCTCCAATTAAGTGGTATTAGGTTTAAAATGGGCTACAAATGTGTCAGACAAAACGGTCAGCTTTTTTGTTGTTGCTCTTGATAACGTGCACAACAATAATACACTGACGAGATCGGAAAGTCTATGGGAGTTGACTTGTTTAGTGCTGACAAACGATTTGGTAACGAATTAATTATTGTGAACGATTAGAACGTGTTCGTGTTGTGAATAAAAATCTCGTATAACATGTGAACGAAGTGAGAGGTGATTGACGCGGCATTGTAATAGCTGCCACTTTGTACAATTATCGCAAAAAGTCATCGATATTCCGACGCAATTTATTACAGAAACTGAATTATTAAGAACATATACACTAGAAATACAAAATGGACCGACAAAAAAAAAAAAACGATAGAGGGAGAGCTTGTGAATGTCCATATGGAAAAAAGAAGCAAGTGTGAATATGACATTTGGAGCATTTTGATTACTGTAAAAATGGAACCGAATTTTTCCGTTTTCAATTCTCTTTCACTTTACATTTTTTCATTCGACCACAGAAAAAGGAACGAGAAAATGCAAAAAATTGGAATTGAAAAAGAACTTTGGCGTTAAATTGAATTTGAACCGCAAATGTGTGTTTGGGTTTTTTTTTCCTTCATTCTAACAAATTCGGCACAGAACAAAGGCTTGTCAACTCAAACACTGAATAATAAATTCTGGTCGGAAAAGATCGAGCAACAAATCAATTTTTATTCTCTCTTTCCATCGCCGAAATATTTGTTCTATATTTATAGAGACACAACTTCTGTTCGTTCTCCTCCCGTCTCTCTCTCTCTCTCTCTCTCTCTCTCTCTCTCTCTCTCTCTTTCTCTCTTCCTCTATTTTTTTCTAGTCGGTGCCATTTTTACAATGCAGCATCGATGATTCTGTACGATATCAGATATTGCTTACCATTCGATTTTGGCATTCAGTGCCGCTTTTACTTCACTCTCTTCCATATTTGTTGGCCGTATCCTTTTGGTTTTTGGCAGCATTTTTTTTTGACCATTTTTTATAGAATCGGCTACGAGTTTCAGTTTTAGGTTGTTTGTGATCGCATTTTTTATCGTTGTTGTTGTTGTTGCTCCTATTCAATGGTCGTCATCATACCGAACGCAGGCTTAATACCGTCCGCTCTCTCTCTCTCTCTCTCTCTCTCTCTCTCTCTCTCTCTCTCTCATTCTCTGGTCAAACAACCGAGAAAACCGTATGTGCAATGCTCTGATTTCCGATCGCCATGTCATTGGCAATCGTTATATGGTTTCATACACAGATGAAAACTGATGACACAATAGACTGTAGCGAACCAAAAAAGATATATGAAGACACACAATGCCATTCATGAGGATATATTAGTGCGAATTTGAAAAATGGAATCCATTATACGAGAATGGAAACTGACCAAAGTAACTGATTCCAATGTGAGCAAACGAACGAATGAGCGCACACGCACGCACGCGCGCGCGCATAACGCAAACTTATTCCATTGGATTTATGTATACTTGGGATAGTTTTGTAGTGATGCCAATTTCTATCAGGTAGTGCATGTTAAAAGTTGATAAACAATTTATCGCACAAAAATGGGATGGAATGCATTTTATGATTATATCTCCGTAAGTAAGAAATTTCCAGAACAAAGTTTTGTTTCGAAAGATGCAAGAAGTTTTTGACGATTTAGTTATTCTGGAAATGGCAAACAACAAAAACCATACAGCAAAAAATCATCTATAATAAAGATCAATACATTCTGTAAATGATTTAAGGAATATTGAAACTGGCTCAAACTTAGTTAAAAATTAAGGTGGAAGGAATTGAATTGTCATATTTGATACTTGCTTCAATTCTCCTGAGATTTTCTGTTGGGAATAAATTGGACTTTTTTGGCACTTTTGATTGAGATGAAAACTGATATGTCGGGGCAATATTGTTCCCCACATATTGTTAGTTGATTTTACCAACTGTCCAGATGTTGTCACTTATTATTACTTACTTAAAGAATACTAAATTATTTAAAAAAAATGTGATTGCGATTCAAATAAATTTGTAATTGAAATTGACTAAATCTTTTATAATTTGAAAGAGCCTGGAACAGCTTGAAAACCAGACAAAGCGCACTCACAATATCATGGTGATTATAAACGCATTTAGAAGCAAGTCTAATGTTGTTGCCGAGGCTTTTGTAAAAAGTACATTGTTACACACATTACAAGTACACGCGCAAGAGAGCGAGCGCGAGAACCCGAAAATTCAGTTGCAGAAGATAAAAACGAAATCGCCTCAATCAAACGAGCAGAAAAAATAGATGTTTTTTTTTTGTATAATGACTAATACTAACAATGCCGACAACATTTTATCGCACCAAATATTTCATATGCTTTATTTTTTCTTCTCTTTTCATGTGTGTGTTCACCCCGAACTAAAATTTGGCGTTCATTAAATCAAGGTGCTTGACTATACGCAGTACTTTTTGAATCTAGCGGAGGCAAATTCAATGGGCGAAGCACTTTGGCAACCAGAATACAACTTGACAACACACTATTTTGGCTCGGGCGAAGTGACTGCTGTTGCTCTACATAATTTGGCTGATCGATTTTCCAATACCGAGAACCCGTTTTTTATGAAGTAAGTAATTCTCTTTTTCAGAAACTAATTTCCTTTGCGTGTGTAATTGTGCCGTTATGTTCACATGATCCGTATTTGCAAAAGGGAGAAGAAGAAAAGTGGTACATATTGTAAATGTAAATATAAATGTACAACTAAATGGTTCGTCTGGCTTATGTGTTGTTTTTGTGGCTCGGAGAATAAGAAGCTGAACATGAAATACACCGGTGTGCTGAGCACACGTAATCAATAATGCAAAAACCTGGGATAAATATGTGGAAGCAAATGAAATCCCATTCTACTTGAAACACAATCAAAAACTAAAATGAAATCAGAGTCAGCTCTGAACATCACCGAGCACCGAGCACCGATCACCGAAGCACACAACTAAAAATGCACTGACTCAGCAGTCCATCAGGCATGCGGCTGATGGAAGCTTTATTTAGCTTATTTTATATTGAATCGGTTAGGATTTCAATCAATTCGTCTTTTCGAATTTGCACCGGGGAGTGTTTCGTTTGCTTTTGCACAACCATTTCACCCATTCACTATGTCGCTGTATGTGTTGCGTTCATTTTTTTGAACTCGCTTTTGTTCTTCCACTACCGCTTCTGGTGTGCTGTTTGTGGTTTTTCGCTTGTATTTCGGTTTCTTTGGTTGGGTCTCTATTTATTTCGATGTGGTAAAAATAAACGCTACCATATATTTTGCTTCTTTATCGAGTTTATTTATTACGCGAACGTAAGCTCAACTATTTCGTACTCGTTTTCGGTGTTTGCTACATTTCTTTTTCCGTCGTACGTTCTCTCCTTTTTGCTGGTTTTTCCAACATTTGCTCTCTGTTTCTCTTACTTTCGGTGTGCTTTTTGTCGTTGTTGTTGTTGTTGTTGTTATTTTTTGTTTATTCTAGTGTTTTTAACTTGTGCAGTTGGCGGGCAGTTTGCCAAACCATATCCAAAGATTTTCGAATGTGTACTCATACGAGATATTGAATTAGGGATTTTGGTTTTGGGTTAAAGTGAGCGAGCGCAAAAGTTCCTCTAGAGTTGGTGTATCGCATTGATGGGAAACCATGAAGCGCCATGTATTTACAACATCGATTGAAATATGTTCAATTTAGCGGCCTTGATTTATTCTCATAATAACCTAATTTTATTGGATGTGTACTTTTTCTCTCTCTCTCTCTCTCGCCCTTTTCCTACACGTTGGTCATCGTCATCGCCATTCGATTGCCAAAACCGTATGTGTATTCGATTGACCGTCAAAATCACAAACTCATGTGATTGGAGCACGCATTCATCGGCTAGATCATGTGCAACATACAAAATAATTCAGACCAAACAAACGGCTCGCAATGGCAGGCATATCCAAACCCATAAAGCATCGTTAACGTGTTCATCGTTCTTCGGCCGATTCTCATATTCCTATTCCGCATGCTGCGGGCATGGTAAATGTGCAAATTGTCGGAGCAGAAAAAAAAAGAGAACAAAACCAGGCCACTAGTCTTCAAGAAGATTGCAGCATATCGATAAGCCATCTTCAGTTAATGAAAAAACTAAAGCGGTGAATTCTCATCCACGGAATCACCGAAAAAACTTTTCGATTCGATGCGCACAATTTCTTCTATGCTCACTTTTTAACACTTTGCGCTTCAACGAATGCTCGTTCGTTCGTTCGTTCGTTCGTTCGTTCGTTCGTTTTTCTTCTCTCTCTTTCTCTCTGTGTGTGTTTTCTTGTTTGTTTTTTGCCGATGAATAAACACACTTTAAATCCGTGATTCGTTTAGTGCAGTAGCAACTACCACGAAAAATATACACGGTGCTGGTGCTGCCTTTTGCTTAGCAAAACTAAAAAGCCTTGTGTGCACTGAACCGCGATAAAGCGATGCGAGCACACGACGTCAAAGCAAGCAAGAATTATGTTAGTTTTAGAGAGAATTGTGAGCACGCAACGCACAAAAAATGCAAATTATGTGTAAACTTTTTAATATTTATTCGGAGCTCACGCTACGAAGTCAATTATATGGAAAACACTGGTAGGAAGTCAGTTGAGAATGGGGTTGAACACAGAAAGCGAGATCGTAAGCGAAAGAGAAAGAGATAGCACCGCCAACAAGTTCTTGCAGCAAACATAACACTTTACAGTTACTACTTGCTCATTAAATTCACCACTGCGGATTTTCCTGGTTTGTTACCGTCACCGTCACCATTACCAACATCATCGTTGCCCATTCCTGTGGCTCCAGGCCCCGGCACGAACAGCAAACCCACAATACTCTGCACTCTGTAGACTTACTTACTCCGTCATTCACTACAACTCGAAATCTTTGACCAAATGCAATCTTTTTTTTCTTCAGCGTTACCCAAGCGCAATTTTGCATTCATTTCTCTACAGCAAACAACCGAAAGGGGATAGACACAAAAAAAAGAAACGTTCCTACTCCCCGCACCAACCAACTGAAATTATTTTCAAAAAGCAAAACTGTGAGACAGTTCATGTCGCTGTAAATCAATTTCGAGCTTGGGATGTGAGATATTAAATTAAATGCGAAAAACTACCGAACCATATATTTCAATGAATTCAAGAAGTTTTCTTCATCTCAACGAAAACACTCTACAAAAGCTAGCTCAGTTGACGTTCATTTCATTAATCAAATAGAAAATAGAAAATGCAGCAATTATTCACCGAATAAACTGTGTGCCTGGGCATTTTGAGCAATTATATTCGATGGATGTGTATGGGTGAGAGAGAATATGGAAACTGTGCGAATGTTTGACTTTTCATTCACAATGTTTGCATATGAAATGGAATGAGATGCTCTCTATCTCTCTAGCTTCATCTCTGGTGGTTGCATGAAATTATTTCATTCGTCAACTGCCGAAAAATACATATGCATTATACAGCAAACGACGGAAATTGTGAACTGAAAATGGTTAACTCAATTATTCAAATATTAATGTTGGAATTAATTATGCAAAATGTGCACATTTCGATCGCGCAAAACCAAGTCGCATCGACAAATGTGTGTGACATAAAATTGGTGAGTGCGAAAAATTCTGCGCGAGAATAAATTCCATAATTTTCTGACCCATTGTAAATCGTATGTTATGTGCTAATCGACATGCATGTGATTCGAATTGTAAAATTGGCTCAACAGCAATTGAAATATAAACACGCGTTTGCCACTAAACACGAAATCCAGTTGAATGTATTGCATTGATTTTGAAACTATCATTTTTCACGTAAAAATCAAATAACAAATGGCTGAGTGATTTAGAATTTTATGTAGCACTAAATTAGCCACCTTGTTTAAATAGGTGAAATTAAAAAAAAAATTAGAAACTAACATAAAACAGCATGAAAGCATTGATTCCTTTTCTCACTCTCTTTCTGTTTCTCTTTCTCTTTTTTTTTCAGATATTATCGCGCGAATTCTGTACGCTATTCAACTCCTTCAACCTCAAAATGCGAAGGGGTGTGTGCATTAAATCATTACTGCGCCATAACGCGAGTTGATTATCACGAATTTCGTCATTGCCTCGAGTCGGCGGCCAGTGCACTGGCATCGAACAGTGCACGTTCCAATGTTTGCATACCAATCGCTGCAAATATTGCATTATTATTAGCCACTTACACGATAATGAAATGCCAACAACGAAAATTGCTGTTCGAGTGGCTGCAGTTCCTAATCGTCGATTTGGTGATAGGCGTGTTGTTATTAGTGAAATGTTCGCAAAAGCTCATTGTCATCATGCTTGATGCATTATTATCGTCTCAGTGGCTCAATAATTGTGCCGAACTCCATGTGAAGTCATCATCATCATCATCATCATCATCAATGCAAATGATTAGCGACCAAAATGTGTACTACAGCAGCGACAACAGCAGAGGCAGTGAAAGCAATCCATCATTCAATGAAATCAATGATTTCATTCGTTTTTCGCGTGCATTTATCGGCTATGCAACGCATCAAGTGTGTTGCATTTGTGCAAGAATATCCAAATGCATGGAAATTGTACAGAGTGACAACGACGGTGATGATAAAAATACCATGCAAAAAATGCAACTGCCAATGCCATCAACTCACCAATATTCCTACCAATTCTCCTCAAGCTCTAAGTGTAAGTCATGCCAAACTAAATTATTCACAAACGTAGATAGTCTTAAACAAATACATAAACCAATGGACTCAGTCAGCGGTCTTGACACTTCGATACCATATAATGTGTAAATCGTGTCGAGTCTCAAGTGTTGCATCGCATTCGAGATGCCAGTATGAAGAAGGAATAAACACAAACAAACATATAAAATATAACTCAACTTATACACATACATACTAATATACATTATATGACATTATTCGAAATGGAATGCAGACGAGAAATTCTTTGAATTGGATATAGATGAAATGTAAGAGCACGATACCTTACTCGGGCTGTTCATTAATTCAGTAAAAATGTGCTGCTTGACGCTTCGGATCCTCAATTAGATTGGATCAAGAGAGAGGAACAAACCAGAAAATGTGCGTTGTGGGAAATTGCATCAAGTTCGTCAACTTTTGTGTGTAATTTTCGAATAATTCAATCAAAAATCGACCCATGTAAATCCCATCGTGCAATTTTCCATGAAAACACAACCAAAACACACACACAAACATTTTTCTTAAAAAGAATTTTACCAAGAGGATTTCTAGTCAAACTGTGTTTTATTTATTCGAATAAGTGCAATAGAAAATAATTTTTTTTTTACTAAGGTAAAACCAAAACCAAAAACAAAAACAAAAAAAACAGACGGACTGTAGAAAGAGAGTGGTTCGAAAAAAAAACGACGCCGACCACAACAACAGCAACAGCAGCAAAAAAGAAAGAAGAAAAACGTATAAAAACTATTATGGCTAAGTAAATAGGGAATATAAAAACGAAACGAGAAGTAAAAGCACACATTCATATTTTAGCTGATATTTTTCGGGGTTATAAGAAAATTAGAGAATGTGACTAAACACCGTGGTTAGATGACATTTATATTTTTCACCGTTTCTGACATTTATTGGTTTGAAAACCAAAGTTTTTATCAGGCGTCTGCTACATTTACCTAATCGCCGGAGATATTATCTGCATTGGCCACAAAGAGATGCTTAGACACAAACACAACACTCATTTATACGAATTTAAAGCAAACCAAACCGAACGGACGCAAGAGAAATGAAACGAGGACAAGAATAAAAAAAAAAAACGAACCATGAGAAACAAATGTCTGATGCATTTATTATAAGGTGAAGCAGCTTAGGGAAATGGATAAGAGTCGAGCAAGAGAGGTGTGCGTATAATCAGGCAACGATTTGTTTTGAAATTGTATTGAAAAGTTTTTCGTGATTAGATTTCGTTTGACCCGTTTATATATAAATATGTTGTGGGTATGTGTGTTTCTCGAAAAGTTACTCTCTCAGTGCCAGATCTCGTCTGTGAAACGGCTACTGCCGAGAGAAAGAGAGAATGGGCTAGATCATTGCACAACCATTAAATATGCTTTATAAATATTTAATCCCTCTCCACAAGAAGAGGAAGAGAACTAAAAACGAAATAAAAAAATAAATTAGATACCAGTTTTATCGATTGAAAAGAAAAAATTAACCAACAAAAGTATTCAAAATAATCGAATAGACACATATTATACATGTATATTTGCTGATTGCATTTTAATGCGTGTGCCTCAGCTCAAAAACTAAAAATGTGAGTGTGTGTGTGTGTAAATGCTGGTTCAATTGTTTTCGTTGCGTCAATCATTTTGGTATTTATTCGCATTCGCATCTCATTTCGGTCATGATCACAAATACCGCAGACATGACACAAATCCATTTCTATTATGTATCACCAACATAAAATTCAGTGTATCCTCTATCTGTATATGAAAACGATATAAATATAAATGTTTTTTTTTTTCACACAAATACTACTTCTGTGTTAGAGAATAAGATAACACAAGAGCAACCATCATAATAGCAACAAAAAAAAGACTAACCGAATAGAGCAAGCGAAAAATAACAACACACACATTGAATGCTACACATACACAGGAAAATAGCAGCAGTTAATGCGAAATAGCTGAGGATTTATGCCAAGCATAGAAACTCAACAAACTTAGATTGGTACATTTTGATGTTGTGACTTTTGTCTCAAACCAATTTTTCGGCTTCGTCCAATTCATTGCTGGATTTCATTCCTAATCAGGACAATATTTGTCACAAATTGAACAGAACTCACAAATTTATTTGGGACGAAAGTCACAAATTTAAAACGTATCTAAGATTGGTGAGTTTCCATATGCTAGATATATATATCCTCAACTATTGTGCAAACACTGGAAAAAAAAATAGAAGAGGAATGAAAAAAAGGGAATAAAAATGAATACAGTACTAAATAGAAAACTATGGCAGAAAAAAAAAATATTTTATATTTATGTATGTCTAAAACAATATGTGCTGTGCTAATAAAATATTCTTCTAGATACCATGAAATGTGAATGACAGACGGGAGCGGAAGAGGGAGAGTAGCGAGATAACTCCAACATAGGAAAAATGTTATAAAAAGAACAGAAAAAAAATGTGATTTATAAATGAGAAAAAGAATGGTGAATACAGTACACATACACAATGTACATATAAATTGCACAAAAAAAATGCTGAAGAACAAAAAGCGAATGAAACATAGAGAAAAATAAATAAAAACAACCAATCCATAGACAAAAGACACACCACATAAAAGCACGACCCCATCTACAATCCATCATATACCGCAAAGAAAGGAATAAATAAAAATAAATTATCATTATGTTAGTCCATGCAGACAAATCACATTTGAAAGAAGGGAAAAAAAAACATGCAGCATTCCTTTTAAAGAAGAAGAAGAAATGTGGAGGAATAAGGAAATAGGAAAGAAATGTGAAACAGAAGAATGCAGCCACTGACACACAACCAGAATAGATTGAAATAAAGAGCAAGCTAAGACTATGGACAACACACAAATTACACACCATATATACGGTATAAATATTATATAGAAAAAATAAAAGAAGATTGAACATCAAACAGAAAATTACGGGGTAAATAAATGATATACATGGGGACAATTGTGTACATATATAAATTATGCCATTTTCGCATTGATTTTTAGTTAAATTTAATAAAACGTAATTAACGGTCCAGTGTGTCTTTGGCTCAATCATTCATGTGATGCACTCATTTATGAAACGCACATATATGCGAGCGAGTGAGCGAACGAACGAGTAAACGTACGCGTAACATTCACTCCGGATGTAGACGATGAAGCGACAGTGGTTCGGACCGAGCCAACCAAATGAAATTAGCAAATTGCCTGGAAATGTCAAACTATTCAAAGAAAAGTTTTCATTAAGTCAAGTTAATTCAGTGAATTAAGCGGTATTCGCATATCTCGGCATCGGCCATATCTCGAAGTTTAGACGAGAGACTATTACATTGTGTTCGATGTGTGTGTATGTGTTGATTTCCATGGCAGCCGACTCCTGCTTTCGAAAAGCTGAGGAAAAACTTGAAAGTTGGATAAATTGCGAATTAATGAAGTCACTCAGGAAAGTTGAACTATTAAAAGCAATCAATGACACTGCACCAACCAACTAACCAACCATGGACTGATCTGACAACGACGACAACGACTTTGTCTCAATCCATTTGTATCTAGATTCTTCTTTAATTGGCATGTGTATTTCAATGGCATAGCAACGTATTGCAAGTTGCACATATATTCCAATATGTGGCCAGGGATCAAGTCATTTCACAGACCAAAAGGCCATTTAAAAGCAGCCGGTTCAGTAACATATTCATTTGCAATGAAGTGTCGGGTCAAATGATTGCCGAAAATATGTTGTATGCACAAACATTCATACAATATCTGTTGCAAAATTTAATCTCAGTCATTTTTGAAACAGAAAACACAACCCAAAATCACTTGGCTAATATTCGTATGTCATCCATTAAATGGAAGAATGAACAAATGAACAAATAAACAAAAACAAAAAAACGGTTTCCGCAAATTAAATACGCAACAAGTGCACAGATAACCAACGATATAAAAGATCGACCGTTTTACTCATGTGTAAAAGTTTTTTTTGCTCTCCAATGAAACTTCTGTGTAAGGTAATTGAGAGAGATGAGAGAGACTCCTTCGTTTGCGACAATTGTCTTGAACTATTTCATTTTTGTTATTTGGTTTGTGCCGATCCCCTTTGAATAACGGCGGCATTGTTGCAACGCTACTTTCCGAAAAGAGAAAAAAAAAAAACAGAACAAGTGATGAATTAAAATTCCTGCATTTAGAGTGAGCGTGCTACTACCGTTCATTCAGGACAAAAATTCGTTGTCAATGGCATGAGTTCAGAGCATTCTGTAAATAAACGCTGAATTATATAAACTTACAATGAACTATGAATAGGCTTGGAATTGTAGATTTGGAGAATGAGACGCTTTAAATTTTCCATGCACCGTGCTGAAGGACCAAATACTTACCGGCAGGCCGCCTCTCGGCATGACATCGTTCATTGCATTAAGACTCTTTTCTCTCTGCGATAACCAAACCAAAAGAAAAAAAACAATGGAGAATAAGAAACACGAAAGAAAATACCTACGTAGGATTAAAGTTAGACAGAGCTACAGAGCTTCAGTTGCAGCATATTTTGTAAAGAAACTTAATCCAAATTGGTGCTGAAAACCATCTTCTACCAATCTATTATATAACCAGATAGAACAGATTTAAAAAAAAAATACACAGTAATAGAATTTGTATGTTTAAATAAAGAAAATGTCAAAAAAAAAATTATATTCGATGATCACACATTTATAAATGAGCTGTCAGCTTATCTTTTCAAACGTAAAACGAAAGAGAGAAACTGACTATGACTTGCTATATATAAGAACAGTTTTAATTTAACAAGAAACTAGATTTGGTTCGATTATTACTTGAATGTAATAAAAAAAATCGTGGTATTTCGGATAAGAAAATTGTACTAACAAAGAAAGACATTTGGCAATTGTCGGAATTTTCTCCGACGATCCACTATGATTACTCAATCGAATCGTTGTTCCGTATCTTTTTAAACTGGCGTAGTAATAGAAACAAAAAAAAAATCAAATTCATTTTTATTTTCGTTTTCATTCGCGATTGGATATTTCTACCGCCGAAAAAAAAAAAACAATTTACTACGGTACGTTTCACGTATTTTTAGCCGATTTTAAAATTGGCAATAAATGATGTAATTAAAGTAATCCATTTATATTATGAACTAAACGTTATGAAAACAACCAACAACAAATAGCTAAAAAGAAATTATTATAATAAAAATATGATAAAAGCAAGAAAAAAAAAATAAACGTAACATTAAGGATGAGCAGTCGAGCAGTTGGACGAGAACAAAAAATAAATGCATTGCGAACTAGTTGAGAGCCAGAACATTCAATGTGTTGTGTCAACCAAAGTTCCCTTGGACTCTAACCAAAAAAAAAAAAAATACATATATATATATTCGAATTAAAACAATGGAACAACTCTTATAAGATTATTTCCATACATCCAGAAAAAAAATGGAGCAAAAAAATAAAAAAATAAAACATAATTTATTTTGATTAATTTTATGTCTAAGAGGAACTATAAATAATGATAAATGAAAAACGATGATGGATTGCAAACAAACAGACAAGAAAAAAAAAAGTTTTTAAACAAAAATTCATGTATTTCGAAAAAAAAAAAAAATGTTTAATTGTCGTTATGTATTCAATAAAGATTATATAATAAAATGGAAGAAAATAAAGCGAAACAATTTGTGCGTTTTGTGATTGAGTTTCAATTTTTCAGATGATTTTCTGAGCTACATGATGCGTACAAACAACAAAGGGCAAGTAATAATCTTCTCGGAATTCTATCTATTTTTTTATATTGAAATTAAAACGCACGTTTTGCAAATATGTACTGCTTAAACAAATCTTCATTAAACACATGTTATTTCCGATTGTAGTAATTCAGTCGAAGGGATATTATACAGAAATACAGTGTTCTCGTTTGAAATCAAGTGGCCGAAACAACTTGAATCCTTCTTCATTGATTTGTGTGCGAGATTCCATATGGAGTGGGGTTTGCGTTTCAATCGACAATATTGTAAACATATTCATGGCGAAAAAAAATTTATGTGCAGTCTCTCTCTCTCTCTCTCTCTATTTTACGTCCTGTTAAGTTATCAAAACGGCACGAAACTCTAAAATCGTTTGTTGTTGCTGTTGTTGGAACACAGTTGCTGACATAGAAACATAAGCATTCGTTTAAATGGCTTCTATTCTTATAATCTTCATCGTTCTTAATCGTTGAAAAACACTAAAGGCTCTTTTTTACAACTTATCGGTTCAATTATGACTGTGACTGTTGCCAGCATTCATTCAACAATATATGTACGCCAAAAAGCCGGAGAGAAGAAGAAACAGATGAAGAAGAAAGAAAGAAAAAATTACAAGCGACTAAATATCACCGTTCAATGTGCATGTCAAAAGACATAAAAATGTTCAAACAAATTACTTATGCATAAATTTCATATGATGATATGAGTTGTAGAACAAGTTTAGTGAAAAAATGAATGAAGGAAAAGCGAAGCGGAGAGAAATGAGAAAGAAAAAACATTGAAAATCATTGAAAATGGCAACGAAATGCAAAACGAGCACTGAACCACACATCGCGTTCACTTTTATCAAAAGCATTTTCGATGGCAATGGATTAGTTATTTTAATAGGGCCTTTAACATGCAAATAAATCCTCGTTTGAAAATGTCATATGAAGTGTGTGTGTGTATGTTTGTGTGGCGTCGTACATTTACAATAAGATGGAGAAATCGTTTGGCAAAGAAAACGAAAATCCAAGCGACCAAATGCTGGTTTCGATTTGAGCTCACACGCGCGCCACAAACGCAATGCTCCATCGACTTGGTATTGTTGTTGGTATTGTTGTTCTATGCTAGTTCTTTTCTTTATCCTCGTCTGTCGATGTATTCTATGAAATGGGTCTACCCTTCAGCCACTGAAGTTACTGCAATTCATCCGTGTTTCGTTTGTGTTGACAATTTTCTACGCGATACGCCTAAATACAATGCCATTTTTCTGCTGAGTGCTCACTGCCTTTTGCCAAGTAAAATGTGATAAATATCCGCATGGTTGTTGCACAAACAAACAAACAAAAAAAAAACCACCAAGAACAACAAAACACGTACAACATAACAGCGAACATTTGATTTGTGCTGTGTTGATGTTTCCATTATTTGGAATTGAATCGGATGTAAATAGCCGCACAATAAATTCAATTTTATGGCATACTTTGTGGCTGGTTGAGCTATTAACAGGCGAAGAAAACACAACAACAACAACAACAGCAGCCATTAGTCAGGCATTGACCATGATACTTTCTCTATGATGACAAACGCTACTTCATTGAAATGCGATGGGCAGAATCACCGAAAAACACTTAATCTTTCGCTTCACGATGAGTCCTACTTATTAAATTGAATTTGCAAACAGCAGCGCTTCGTTCGTCAAATGATTTGATTTCTTAACTGATGCGTTGAAAAAATGGTAAGTACATTTCGTTCATCTGATGAAATGGAATAGTCCCAAGGAAAAACCACAAAATCAAAAGAAAAAAAAAGAATGAATTGTAATCAAATACCAAAATCAAATGATTGGATGCAGAACGAGGATAAAAAAAATATGCTTGGAATAGCTGTTTGAATCATACCTTTTGGTGATGCATGAAAATTGAACCCAAAAACCAATTTCCACAAAATGGTAAATTTTTCAAAATCGTTCACCGTCCCCCAACATACACGCACACACTCAACAAATCGGATTGGTCTGTGTGCGGCACTTTGCAGCTGCACACAAAAAGTAATTTATTTAATTACGTATCATCCAGTATTTTAGCATTTTCGCTCATTCAAGCCAATACTCCGTAAAAACATCATTAATTATGTTTGATAGATTATGCTCAATTGTGTCAATACCATGCACAAAATAATACGTAAAACGTTCCATAGACGGGGGTCCGAATACAATTGTCGAGTATTTCTTGCGATTCGGGATTTACTACGAAAATTTCGGCTGCCGCTTTCGATTTTGTACATTCGCAATATTTTGACTAGTTATCGAAGCGGTCGCATACACGTGCAAAGCTTGGGCCAGTGTGAATGAGAGCGGTATTTACAGGGAGCAAGAGAACGAGAGCCGAATGAAATGGTCAGATGCGGCAGAGAGAGAGAGAAAGAGAGAGAGAGAGAGAGAGAGAGAGGATAAGAGTGATGAGGGAGCGAGAGAGCGATGCTCATGAAATATGGGCACGGCGTGCAGGCAGCACTGCGCGAGAGCCTGGCGTGTATAAACATCGCAGCACAATAAAATAAATCGAATTAAAGTAAAATTAATTGGACGTCTGTTTTTATGTGCTGTAATTTTTTTCATTTTGATTCGTTTATGCCGCACTCTCAAATAATACTCAATACGGAGAGCCAGAACGAATCGAACATTTTATTCCACTTTTTTTCGCATTTCCGATATGGTTGCGATATATTGAATGGTTGGTTCTTGGACAATGCGATATGTTTATTCACCAATCGATAGCAATTGCACACAAGCACATACACATACGCATACGATGGTTTTTGCACAAGCCAAACGCGAACGGCATTTTATGCAAGGAATGGGTCATAAACACCAATCACACAATATCGAAATAAAAATATAATGTACGATCCGTTCGCCAAATTTACCGTGAACATCGAATTATGATACGAACGAAAAGTGTACCGCTATTGAGTTTGTTTTCGGATTAGTGACAGCCCATTGTATATATTCAGCAATTTTCTCATACTGACCTTTCGTTCGCGCTGCTTGTGCTCTCTTTCTCCCTTTTTTGACAGTCTTTGGTTTGCGTTCGCTGTACTTCAGTTCGTTAAACTCATGTAATTAGTTTGTTATTTCGATGTACCAAATTAGAACAACAAAAGTGACAACAGCATCGGACCAAGATAAATATTGGCATGGCGTAAAATATTTTCAAAGTTTTTGAATGCTGTCGATGACACACACATACACTATGAATGCTCATTATGAACTGAAATTAAATGACACGGTAAACGAGAGATATTCCTTAGAATTTCAGTGCATCAGCATTTTCAAAGCTTCGACAACATCATCAACAGCTCATGTTTCATGTCACTTCGGCTCAACGTGCGAAAATCCAATTTCATATTTGTCAATCGCAAATGACTAATTTCCAGTGAATTTTATGTTCCATACAATCATAATATGCACATGTCATAGAGAGTGTGTCTATCTCTTTCTGTGAGTTTGACATGGCCAAACATTCACAATGCCGAAATGCACAAAACGACAGGCACGGCATGCACCCTAAATCTCAATTACAACTACTGAGAAAATAATAGTTTGCCAAGAAATTTAATAACATTTTCAATATGCCATTTATTGCATGCACGGATGACGTATACAGAAAATGTTGTGTGCCCCAAATCTGCTTCTTCGCTCCCGATTCGCACACACACCCACACACACCGGGAGAATGAAAGCCGAAACATTCTCTCTCCGCACCGCTGCTACCACACTGGATATTTCATTCTTTCGTCTCTGTTTGTCAATCTCAGCTCGCCCTCTCTCTTTCTCTAGCTCTTTCGGCTCGTAACGCATGTGGCAAAAAAGTTCTTCGGTGTACAAAACTCAACTTTGCCAAACTCACTTTCCAGTGTTGCATACGCTTCAAGTATTAATTTCACATGGTTTCAGTTTGTCGGTTGTTGTTGTTGTTGTTGCTATTGTCGTCGGCTTTTTCTTTTGCATCGCTCGTTCTGAGTTTTAAGTTGATACTGCGGCGGCTGCTGTTCGCATAAATACACATACACAAACTTAGCTCCGATGGAATTTGAACCTAAGGCGCTGTAGCGAATCGGATTTTATATTAATTCATCTCATTCTTTATCCCTTCATAACCGTATGAGATTCGACAGCCACCAAAACGATGATATCGTCGAATTGATTCAATTTTCACCAACACTTTGATACAATAACACTTTGATACACGCTCTCTCTCTCTCTCTCTCTCTCTCTTTCTCTCCTTTCTCTCTATCTGTCCTTCCATCTCTCCAACGTTTCTCCGTCGTCGCGCTTCGTTCGATGTCGACACATTTTTCAAGTCACTCACACCACCCCGAACCAGTACCAAAACCAATGCAATTGGCTAATTTCTAACGCAGCGCTGTTTTGCCGTGACTGTTTATTTTCATTTTTAAATCGGTCTTCAATAAGCTATTCTCTTCTCGTTTGTTTTTTCTTTCATTTTGCCTTGCGTGTGTTTGTATTTGATTTTGTGACGGTTTTGTTGGCTGTGACATTTATGTGCACATTTCTGTTCGATTGCGATTCAATCATCAATAAACTGACAACCAACGTGAATTCGTAAAACATTGACTATTTCTAACAGCCGCGAATTTATTCCCTTTTTTTTCCCCATTGGCATCGCATTTATTTTGTCAATAAAATTCGTTTGCTAAAGCATTAATTCTTTGAGTGTGATTTCGAACTGAAATGGCCACATCAATGGAATCTGAAATGGATTTTTCGCTATCGTTCACTGAGTTCGAGAATGATCTCAAAACGGCTCAACAGAATTTGATTCTATTTGCTGAAATCGTAAGTTGAACGCAATTCAAAACGGTCGTCCGTTCATTGAGAAAAAATTGGACAAATATCGTTTCTTTTTTGGTCGTTCATTCAAAATAAATTCTTTTTGTTAAAGCAAAATTCATTCAAATCCGGCGAAAATATGCTACGCAGTGACGTTAGCCAATTCAATACTATCAAAGGAACGGTTCAAAATCTGGGAGATATTTTAAGGAAATTCAATTCAGACGTTGACATTGTTTTCGCGCATTTCAACGATCACAACACAGCCCAGGCGTATTTTTTCACTAGCGATGAAAAATCACAAAACGTCGCCGACAATAAATGTCAAATAACTCACATTGTCGATGCACAGCAACGTCTTTGCTACGCCATCGATGTGAATGGGTAATTTTATAATATTGAACGTAAAGAACGTGTATAAAATTAAATACTGTGCACATTTCATTTTTGCTTTGGCTTTTGTAGCGAAATTCTGAGGCAACTGAAAAGATTCTGGAAATATTCGTCGGTACAGGAGCTGGAGACTAACGAGTCGCTTAGGTTGAATGACGTTTTTGGCATTGAAATTGATATGAACATGCATCGTGGAAGATTCGTGTTTGACACAACGGTTTGTGCGGGAAAAACAGAAAACATTTTCAAAATGAAATTGCCTTGGAAATTGTGCACATGCAATTAATTTATTTTCAGAAAAACTCGGTGCGCATTCGCTTAATCGATACTGGTGAAATTATCGATGCTGGAGATTATGGCTTTAAGAAACTGCCAGATGACATAAAATCGATTCCGCCTTGTGCAATCCTTTGTCGAATCGAACGGGTATTAGCAATGAAATTCAGCATGCACATTTTATTTCTCTTTTGTTCGTTGCACTCTTGTTCGCTTTTGAAATATCAATTTCGTGTTTTTGTTAAGTAATTTTCATAATATTTTCTCCAAACAGATTGGACCAGATGAAGTGGAATCGTTGCCAGAATCGGTGAAAGGGCAAATATTTGACTATCGAATTCGGAAAATTGATGAAAGCAAGTAAGTGATGCTGATGCAATTTATCATTCAACTTCGACACACACTGAATTGATTGAATTTAATCATATTCGTATATTTATACGATACTGTGCCATTCTCGCTCATTTCGGCCAATGAAATCTCTCGGTGCAGCCATATCTTTAACATTGACGTTTTTTCGAAAAATCCATTTTTGCTGGGATTCGCTGACGATACGGTAAATTGAATAAAGTAGACAAAAAAAAAATAAAATAAAACGAAACAATTGTTTATCCGGTCACATTTCTTTCTGTGTGTGAGTGTGTGTTCCGGAAACGGATTGAATATATTTTTTTGTCACATTACAATGTATAATTAAAACTGTAGAACTGGAAAGCGTTTAACGAATTCGGTGGCGGTGAATTGGAACCATCCGGCGACACCGATGTCAGTTGGAATCTTGAGCAAACAATAAATAAAACACTGCAATCGAAGTGGAATGTCACCATGGGAAATAGATTGAAAAAATCGCAGTTGCCGACTCCCATTTATAATTCCAATTATGATCTCAATGACAACACATCAAGTGACTTTCAATCGGTTGAAAATCGGAATGCAATCGCATCGAATGCCAGCTCGTTCATCGATGCAAATGGAGCTGCTGCACTCGATACAACAAACAATGATTACGATTATGATGGCGACGTCGATGGCAACAACGGCGAAAAATCAATTTCAATTAAAAATCGCTTGGGCGATCCGCCATCCAAATCGTGGTGCTTGAATCCGAACAAACGGCAGGCAAACATCATGAATGACTCTTCGCGTGCACATTGTTTGAACAATGGAGGGCGGCAATGGCAGAAGCAACAGTACCATCAACATTGCCATCAAAACTCGTTCACCAGCTCAAAATCGGCATTCGAAAGCGTTCGGCCAATGAAGACGCAATGCGAAACGTATTGTAAGTGTTACACTTCTAGTAATTCTGACTCGTTAATAATGCAACATTCGATTGCATCGTTTAAATTGTGCTGTACGCATGGGAAACAACTCTACATCGTTTTTTTTTTCTATTTCTCTCTCTCCCTCTTGAGTTCTTTTTTGTTGTTGTAGCTATTTTGTTTTTGCTCGTTGCACTTCTGCGCTCATTTTGGCACACAATGTTTTTATGTCATTTCAGTATTGCAAAGCCATCACAACCAGCTTAAAACACCTCGTGTAGGTGAACCAACCACCATTATTCCGACCTGTGTGCTCAATGCAACCGAGTTCTATGGTCAATTGGGTCGGCATTTCAGTGGATTTCACTACTTCCAACAACGACTGAACATTCGCCGATCACATTTCGAATACGAACAGTACTCCCAGATGCCAGGTACAATGATTATTAGTTTTTTTTTCTTTCATGAGTGTGTGTGTTTGTGTGTGTTTGCTACTATATTTGATTTGCTGGTGGGGATAAAAATTAAAGCTCCCTGGATATTTTATTTCATCGTTTTTGGCAGGAAACGCGGAATTGGTTTTGGTTTTGCTTGAAAATGGACTATTCCACCGAGCCAAAGTTTTGAGCGGTGCTGATGATCAAGCCACGGTAAATAAAACAAACATCATTTGAATGTTTATTTGTAAGTACAGAACGGCATTATGAGCGAGAATTTTCCTCTTGATTGTAGGTATTCTTACTCGATTATGGTACCACGCATAGGGTTTCATTGCATCATATTCACAAATGGACACCACACTGTGACAAGCACTCATTTCAAGCCATACTTTTCACATTGTCCAATGTGAAAGTTCAACATTCGATTGTCAATTCCCACATCACCAATTTGGTCAATGAGAAAATTCCCAAAACATTCGTTTCAGCAGAAATTACGTAAGAATACCCAAATTTCCATAGTACTTCGATTGATTGAATAAAATAATTATGTGTTGTTGCTTTGTCGTTAATTTTTTTTTTTTTTTTTTCAAATAGAAATGTCGATGGCCGTTCGATTTCCGTGCGTTTGTTTGACGACAGTGGTTTTGACATCGGCGAGGAGATAAACTGTATCGTAGACTGTATCTCAGCGTAAATGTCATTAATTATTACAAATTGGAAACATGAACAGAAAAACCTATAAAAATGTTTCATTCAAAACTGTATAACCAATTTTCGAAAATAAAAAAAAGAACAAAATGCTGGACAAAAAAAAAAAAATACAAAGGCTATTTTAATCAAATAAAAAAAAAACAAAATCAATTACGTTCATCTATTAAAAGCGATTAAGCGATGGTGTCACAACCTCTGGGAAATCGTACCAGGCGTAAAAAAGCGTTCGATCAAACAAAAACACATTCTCACTCTCTCTCTCTCTCTCTCTCTCTCCCATCAAAATGGACTAATCGAATGGGCAACATAACAGCCAACATCGGATAGAGCCGAACAACAAAGGACAGTGTACACCACCACCAAACATGATTACACAAACACAAAATGCTCTCGCTTCGACGAGAACAAAAAGCGGGCAGCGACAGTAACAATGAAGAGAAGAACTCAAAGCTATTTGGAACGAAGATTTGTTATCACACAATGCATAATAATGATAATGCTATTGTTATTATTCTGCACTTGATGCTCTGTGTGTTTGCGTGCTCGTGTTGCTTTTATGTTTTTGGCTTTGTTACCGTGAGCCGCTTCGACATTGTGGGTGCATGAATGCCCTTTTTTATATGACCGTAAGTATAAAATGAATGGGGATGATATGCATTGTGCATACGGTAGGTGCATATTTTGTTCTGTATTTCGATGTCGTTTTACACCTAAACACTGAGAACCGAATAACTGCGATTTTGCCATAAACATTGAAGCACAAAATTCATTAGTTTTGGCTGTGAAATGTGGATACAAAACGAATGAATGAAACAAAAGAAAAGGAATCGATAGCAAATACACAAAGAAGAGATAGAGAAAAAATATGTGCCACACTTAGCAGTAGCCGACAATGAGTGTTAGACCGAAGAGTGTTGCACGATGCCAGTGAAATTTTATTCGTTTATGGTATGAGGAGATTCGATCGCATTGTGTGAGCAAATGAAACAAAACATATCGTTCGGCCGCTGTATTTGAGCTCTGTACGCAGAAAATGGTTAATCGGTGAAGTGACCGACAAATGAGTGAGTGAGACAAAGAAAATCGTCTTGTGATTTTGCATCGAGTCACGATGCTTGCGATTTTGTTTGTCACACATTTCTGGGTGAAATATCATCATACTGTATTCCAGCCGACAGCTTGTTTATGCTATATTTTTTGGCACATAAAACAAATATTTAACAAATTGAGTGAAATATTCTGCGAGAAATCTTTGAAAAAATGTCATCCAACTGGCAAATCGTGCTGAATAAATATCTCGCGAATTTTCAAACTGAAACAACGACAGCGTTGGAAAATATAAACGATATGCTGAAACAATCTGGAAAAAATTACAATGAAGAGATGAAGAGTTGTTTTGCGAAGTGTGTAAACCGCAGGTAAATTCAATTCCAACATTTTCTTCTTTTTTTCAATTTTATTTCGATTTTCTTTATGTATCTTCAGTTGCAAATATAGTTTTTGGAACAAATTAGACCATTTTGCCTTGTTATGTTTCACATAAATTTTGATTTTTTCTTAATTGATCCACACACATGAATAACTAATGCGTATCTGTTTGCATTTTTTTCACAGCTTAGAGCAAACGTTGAATTTGTTCGATTTGCATATTAGCATAGATGCTAAATTGCCATCATCATGTCAACCCAGCATCGGTCATTCGGTGGCACCAATTGAGACTCAGACAATGAAGAGGCAATCCTCGACTGATGTTCAAAACGAGGCATCAAAGCGAAAGAAAACAATCGCTGAAAAGCAATTGAAAAGTAATTCTTTGTTTAATGCGCTTAGGTCAAATTTTTCTTAAAAATGCATAACCAATTCTTTTGATATTCGTTTTTCTTTGTACTTTTATTTGTCTCTTTGACACCACTAAAACACACTAATTTCTCTTGTTTTCAGATATCATGTTCTGCTGTTTTGATTGCAACAATCAAACAAATATCTTCGTCGATACATTCAGTGAAGTGTACGATCACTGGAAGAGTTGCCATGATTCAATGCCATTCCGGTTTGTTGCAGTGGGAAAGGCCGCCTGTTACCATTGCGGCAAAGTTGATGTTTTTGCAAAACTTAAGGATCATCACAAGAGCATTCATCCATCGAAAATATTCGTTGTAGTCGACTGGCAAAAAAAGTCAAAGTGTGGACTGTGTCACAAAGAGTTTTCGAAATCAGAAATGATTGTGCATTTCGAAGCAGAACATAAACCATTGCATTATGCCCACATCAATAGCCCGATTTGTTTGAATCAAAGCGAAATTAAGCAGCTCATCAGCTTAAATTCATCACAAACTGAAGCGATCGCTCCATCGGGTCGATTCGCAGCCTTCATGTGTGGCTATTGCCATACCGTAGAAAATATCTGCGAAGTGTCATTCATGCAACATATCAAAATGGATCCGTTCCAGTTCAACTGCTCAGTGTGTCCATTTTGGGGGAGCAGCATTCGTGAAACGACACAGCACGAGGCTACCGTTCACAGATTGACTATCGATACATTGAACCATTCAAATATTCTGATGGATCGATTGGAACAGTACTATCTACAGACGCGAGTCATATTCACCAACGGCCTCGTTTTGTACAAACACAATATACGACATTTGATGATCGCAACGAATTTTGGCCAATTAAAGAAAAATTGGCAATGCAGAAATTGACGGAATTCAAACCCGATGAACGGAGTCGTGAAAAAGAGTTGAAAGAACAGCAAAAGAATATGGATCGTTTGCGCATTACTGGTCTCCAAGATGTTAAATACTGTGATTTTTCCAAAGTATTCCGAATAATATGCAAAGCAATTGGTGTGGAGATTCGGTCTGAGAACGCTATCGAAGACATTCGACGAAGTTCGCATCATCTTATTGTTACACTGCGTGGAACTAGATTGAGAAACGAAATCTTAGGAGCTTGGCGTGACACCCCGAAAAAAGAAAAGTTAAAAGTGTTGGGAATGCTTGATTGTTTGGAGTCGCGGATAAAGCCCTGCAAAATATCGGTCCAACCTGAATTGACACGATTTTTCGCGAAACTTCGGCATTATGCCAAAAAAGCCATTCATTTTGGATGACGCACGATGGACTTAGGGTGAAGCAGAACGAACGAAGAGCCGTTGTATGGTCCAAAGAATACCTTGATAGATTCTAACGTGGCGGTCAACAATCAGCTTCAACTCAAAATTAATGCGATACTCTTGCATTGTTAACAGGAAAAATCCAGTTACAACCTATAGTTTAATTAACAATTTTGATAGTTACTTCGGTCAAAACATTTTAAACATTTCAATTTAAATAAAAAGAAAATTATTGAAATCTTGAAAATGAGAAAAAAAAAGATTAAGTAAAATTATATTATATTCCAAATTGAATATAATGAAATCTAAATAGAATATCATTGAAAATTTAACATTTAAAAAATGTTGAATACAATTATTCGAATGAAAAAAACTAAACTGAACTGAACAAAAAAAAAATTCATTAAAGAATTGCATTATTATTTTTCTATCGAACTAATTCTCTGTGAGATTTATTTCTTATGATCTGAAGATGTGAACGCAACAACCTTGTTCGAGATAAGGTGAAAGAGGTAAAAAAGACGGGAATTTGCTACATTTTATTGATTGTAGATGTATCAATTTTTCAATACAATCCACAAAATATTAATTAAATTGAGCAATTTATGCTCACATAGACAGAATACAAGTGAACCAGCGCCGTACCGTCCATACAAGCGGGGCTGAGCCCCATCTGAAATTTGCTGCACCCCGTTTACAAACGACGGCACAAGCGATACACACACAGACATTGTGTTGACACACGAAGAGTGTTCAAAGAAAAAAGTTAGCGAAACATGTACATGCACGCTCCGCGAAGCTCATCGTAAGTGTGAAGAGTATAACGAAAAAACAGCGACTCTGTGTGTGGTGAATCGCTACTGTGTATTTATGCGTTTCGCTGAACGCAATGCGTGAAAAATATCTGTTATTTTTATGCGATATTTCTATCCCATATAAATAAAAATATCCCATAGTAATCTCTGATTCTACACATCACTTTATCATAATTGAATTCAATAACCAAACTCCTGCTTTTCTGAGACGTCCGTACAAAAATGTAGCCTCAATAGTTTCGATGCATTGCAGCTCATTTGACATGAGCATGACATTGCACTCCATTTCGGTGGAATAAACCGGTCAATCTCAATATGGTGAATTCGGTAGCAAGGCGATCAACAATTTTTGACGACACACAGTCGCGTAAATGCGACCAAACCACAGAATATTGAAAAATTCCACGAAGTATAATGGTGAGGTAAACGTTTGAATATGACACGAAATGGAACAAACGCTTGACTCACGCTCGTCGGAATTGGCAACATCTAGGGTAGGGGTAGACACGATTAGTAAATTAGAATCTAATACAGTAAATTAGAGAATATTGGAAAATATTAGAAACTGAAATGTTTGATGACTTTGACATGGCAATTCTTTATGAAGATTTTTGTTTTGTTTGATGAAACAAAACGGTAAACAATACCGTTATTTGTCAACAAGTCTGCAAGTATTTCAACGCATTACCACTGTGCATAGTACAGAGACGTAAAATGTTCGCCATTTAGTTTTACATTGCCAATGCATTTCCTTATGGAGATTATTGTTTTGTTTATTTTTTGTTGTTTGTAAACAAATCTGCCAATCATTTAGCATTGCCTCTGTATATTTCGTATGGACCATATACTAAGTACAGAGGCAATGCTAAAAGATAGGCAGATTTGTTTACAAACAGCAAAAAATAAACAAAACAATAATCTCCATAAGGAAATGCATTGGCAATGTAAAACTAAATGGCGAACATTTTACGAGAATATTAGAAGATATTAGCACTTTCAATCGATTATTAGAAATATTAGAGAAAACTAAATAAAACTTGGGATATATTTCCGAAAAATTAGACAGATTAGTGATATTAGACCAATATTAGAATCCGTGTCTACCCCCTAGGGCAATATGCTATCATTATTGTTATGAGAAATTGCGATATTATAGATTGTGATGTGCACTGTCGTATGTCAACGATTTACACACAAATTATTTACCATTATTAAGTATTTATCATCATAAAAACCAACGCTATTTTTTTATTTCCGGCTTAGTTTTGAAATCGAAATTCGATTGCGTGTCACAAAATTGGCTTTCGATCCAATAGATCATTAGTGTATCCGTCTATGGAATGAGTGGCGGCACCTAATGCAAGAGGAAAAAATATCGACGAGATTAATTTTAGATTAAAATTTTCTGAAAAATACCAAACGGGACACAATTAATTAAATTAAAAACTTAACACCGGTGCTCGCATTCATTTCAGCAGTTGGTCGCTTTTTATTTTCCGTTTGTCTATTCTGTGAGACGAAATGATTTTTGGCGCGGTTGAATATCAATATGAAATTTTCATCAACTCTTCATTAATTATGTGAGTTTGGAATTAGCCGGAAAATATACGGACAATAATGCTGTCTTAAACCACATCGAAAAACAAAAACCTTGACTTGATTAAATTAATAAAATATCCCGATATCCTTTGTGCTTGGGCCCAATGAACATTGGTGTTCATAGAAGAAAAAAAAAATGAGAGACGTTGTCAGTTTTATGACAAGGGTCGATTAATAATGAACTATAAACTGAAACGAACATATTCAAAGTGATTGATATCAATTTTACTGTAGGCCTGAGCATAATGATCGCACATTTGTACATCCCGGATACAAGGGATACAATTTTCGATATCCGAATTAATTTATGGTTTGAACCGATCGGAATGCTGATTCCGTATGCGGGAGTGTGGCTGATGAAAATGTATTAGGTGAAATCCTTTTTGCCTCGATGCATGTTTCAAGTGTGCACTGGAAAATTATTTACTTTGATTTAATTTTGACTTGTATCAAATGCAAATCGAATTGGAATCTTGTTTAATTAACGTTATCCATTGAGTTAAAGCGAATTGTTATGGCGTGACAAATTGGCGTTTTAATCAGTGGCATCCTCCATTTGACAAGCGTTATACTCTCGTTCACTCTGTGTATGTATGTGTGTGTGTGTGTGTGTGTGCGAACGGGTGTTGAAAACTATTTTGAATTAAAACCATGCCAAAAAGCAGATTTCAGTGATTTTGTATGTTGTGCATACTACCGTACATCATGCGGTACACATAGTCGTGTTGTATCGTATCGTATCGTATCGAGTTGATGCAACAGTAATTATGATGAAAATATAATTTACCACTTTATGTTCACTTCGTTGGACTTGGGATTCAAAATTGATGCCGGTAAATGAGTGAGACCGGTGCTGGAAGGGAGAGAGATGGAGAGAGATAAATAGAAAGTTGGGAGCTCAGCTAACAGACATATATGGAATTGGTTGACAGCTACTGGTTGATTTGATGCCGCTTAACTTCACCAAAGATGCATACACACACCCTGAAATTTAGTACCAAAACGAAATTCATATCGCCCAACCATAAAATAAACAATTTGATAATCCATCACGTGTGCATCCGTTTGGCTTTTGTATGCAAGACAACTTTTCAACAAATGAACACAACAACCAAACCGACAGCACATTTCGTGGAATTCGACGGTGTTTCACATACCGTACGTACAATTGCTTTTTGCTACAATGCTCATTTTGGCATGGGCATACGCGGAGTGTTTGTGCATATGTTATCCACACGATTTCGTAAATTAAATGTTGCATTTTTACACATTCTATCGATGCATCTTGCTTAAAACTCACTTTTCTCGCTTGCTGCTTTGATTTTTAATCTCTCCTGTATCAAGGCACTTACTTGATCTCCCTCTTTCTCTCTCTCTCTCTATCTCTCTCTCTCCATGGTTTGGCGTATGTGTATAAAACAAACAAGCTTGAAGCATTCAACTACACCATTTTCAGTGGATTGAACACACGTTTCCATTTACATACATTGCACGTTTAACGTGCATCCCATAGAATACCGACAAATATGTGCAATATGCTTAGTGCAACGACGAGACAAAACTCTTACAAGGCAATAACTTTTACTTTTGGCCATGGCTTTAATTCACTGCGGAGCAAATATTCTGTTTACATGAGTAATATCCTACTGCATCGGTGTTTATACTTACACATACACACAATGTTTCGTTACTGATGTTTCTCATCCGAACTCAATCCCGAAAAACGTTTGACGAAAGATGACGGGCATTGTTGACACAATAGTGATGAAGCTAGATGGTAATGTGAATTGATTTTTGTGATATAGAGGCACAATCAAGCCGAAAGGAGAAAGAGATATAAATTGATCACTTCATACGGAAAACGTTTTTACAAAAAAGAAAATCCAACGGATGACCTTTGTTCCCTTGTCGTACAAAGTCTTACACGCAAATTTTGAAATAGCTGTAATTAGAAATTATGCTCACGTTTGAAAATCTCGGATTTTCATCTTTCTCTCTTGTTCTGTATTTCGGAATAGTGCATATTAGCTGACTTGTAATCAATTGCCTTTGAATTTATAAGCCAGTCAAATAAAATAGACCAAAGTCGTCGGAGCGATGCTCAAGTAAATGCTCTAATGCATTGCATTTGATATTGTGTATGAAAATGGTTGTGCAATAAGATACCAATAACATGAATAAATACGTGTATCTAAATTGCCTAGAACATAGTGATTGCTTGAATGGCGCTGCTCTTGTTTGTAAATAAATATACGGCCAGGGAGCAGATATACGTTACATCTATAAAGTGTAAACGATAAGCAATTAGATCAAATATATTTGGTGAATGGAGAGCGGACGAACGAACGAATCGGACGAAAGAGTGAGATAGAATGAGAAAGCTAAACGAAGATGATGGGAGCAAACTGAGTCCAAGCCAAAGCCAAAGCCAAATCCAAAGCCAAAGCAAAAAACAACATCAATAGTTGTATACACAGACTCTGTATTCACCCGAAGCCTCGAAACTGTCTAGCATATTCTATCTATGCCAAGTCCAATGGAACACACAATGGGTAATAGATCGATGTTCGTATGTAACTGTTCAGGTTTTCAGGGTGAATTGAGAGTGTTTTACGGCACTGAAATGATGCAAATATTCGCATATATTTGCCGTTTTACTTGTCTTACCGTATACGGAACCGCATAACAAACACTGGCATGTAAATTCGGCACGAACCAAGCGAAAGAGCGAGACCGAGAGCGAATTAGAGTAGTGTTATGCTTTCATTGAAGTGAACGAATCCATTAAGTGTGGTTAAGATTTTAAAGATGTTTCGCTCCATATGTGCATACCGATATAAACATTCACTTGTTTTGGCACGGTACATTTTCCATCATTTGGTTTGAGCTACTACGCTGGGCAAAATACCATCACGATTTATCAATATCATTTGTGAAAATCACGTTCAAGATATTAACTGATATGGATACTAATTATTTTGGGGTTTATTTATCATTTGACCATTAATTATTTTGCTGTGA